GATCCCCTTGATCAAGGACCATTTAATGGTCATTTGAAAGCCTTAATGATATCGAAATTCAGTGATCTTGGTCTCGTTGGGTTTGTCTCGTCGAGCCACTCGATTCGACTATATGCATGTTGAGTTTGGAAACTGTTTGGTAATTTGAATTATGGTTTGAGCCTTCCAAATGCACTTTGGGTCTTTGATTTGGACTCAGTTGGACTCGGATTGAGTTGAATTTGGTGTCGTTGAGTTTGTATTTTTGAGACATTCAGTTTGAGTATAAGTTTGTTGTAATTGGAGTTCAGATGATCCCAAATTTAATTTTGGAAGCTTTCCACTCAATTTTGCTCCAAGATTCATGCATGATCAAGATAATTTTTGGTGACATATCAAACCATAATCTCAAGTTATGTACCACTTTAAATGAAAAATTCATTATAATTTGAGGTGGAAAACTGGACAAGTGGAAGTTTTCCTCTATAAAAGTATTATTTTCAAGGATATGCTCGCCCACGGGATAAGATGAGGTTAGAAGGGTATGAGTTACTAGCTTGACCTTTTGTGAGAGCAGTGATAAATATTGATGAAGTGGTTAGGGGTGAGAGATGTTTGGACTATTATGAACAACTGTTCGGCAAAGGTATTGTTTGGGAGGTAGTGATCCAAGTTCAAATGATTTCAACGAAGGTGTTCAGGCAACACTGATCCAATGACAATGATTCAACAAAGATTGTCGAGTGGCACTCTAATCACAATAGCGTTGAGATGTAATCCAAGGGTAGCAGTTGAGAAATGGTGGTTCAACAATAGTATCCTGATGACAGCTGTCAAGAAGTGGTCGGATGGTGGTGTTCAGGAGAAGGCCCAATAGTGATGATATGGCGATGGTCGAACAATGATTTGATGACAATGGGTTGACAGTGATAATTGGGTGGTGGCAATTTGTTGGTGATGGCCAGGCAGTTGCCAAACCACCATCCGACCATCGCTACTCGATTACCATCATCAAATTACTACAGCCTCACTTCCATCGCCAAACTATCATTGCTTGATAACCATCATTGAACCTCCATCACTCAACCACCACTATTAGACCGCTGCTACACGACTGCCACCATCGAACTATTGCCCGACCAACAACATCAACTACCACCATTTGACTACAGACATCGAACAATCCCTATTAGACCTTCATCTTTATCTAACCATTATTGTCAAACCACATTGCCTTACCTCTACTGCAGGATCCCTAGCCTATCACCTGACCACCAACATCGAACTTTTTATAATAGAACACCACTATATGATTGTCGACCCTAGTCATAGTTATTGAAATATGTCTCACCATTTACCATTTTAGCGATTTTTTTCGAACGCTCTAACAAAAGCCAAGCCATTAACCCATACCCTTGTATTTTCGTCTTTTTCAATTCGTGAGATGGGTAAGTTTTTATAACTAATGCTTACCTAGTAGAACCATCTCAATTGAGCCAAGCTCTGTAATTTTTTCTTCCTGAATGTTCTACATAAAAATTATTGTATGCCCTCTATTCATATGTGTATGTGACAGATCTTCATATATACGAAACTAAAAGAGATTAAATTATCTATTGATTATCATGATTTTTTATCACACAATAGAGATATAGATCAATTCAAATCAAATTGATTTGAACGAGTCTTTTAGAGAATGATGTGCCTTGAGAATCATTGAGAATTAGCATCTTTCTATTTCTCATACCTTCTACTCTTTAGGCTTGATCCATAATAGTAAAATTGAACAAAATTTGATTGTATCTTAAATTTATAGTAACCGATGAATTTACTAGTTGACCACCCACTCCAATAAATTTACAGATAATTGTTCGTAGGCTGGTCGCCACTTCTTTTCGTTTGGCCATTGGCCTATAGTTAATAATGAAACTAGAAAGGAGATAGAGATCATTCTTTTACATCTCCACGCCCCCAAATAATATAGTTTATGATTTATCTCTAACAAATTAATATGTAATATATATATATATAAATTTCTAAAAGAAAGATATAATTAATTTTAATTGCACTACAAGAAAATCATTCATTACTGACGATTAACCTCAATTTTTCGGAATAAACCACGTAGGAAATGGTAATTGGCGGTAAATTTTTTGCGGTAATATTTTTCCGGTGGTTTTCAGGTGGCTAAGACAACCGAAAATTACTGAACCCAAAACCGGTTATTGCATTGAAAATTAATAATATTGCATACTGCTTGGGAATGTGCATCCATCTGCAAATAATTTAATTATATATATATAAATAATTTAGACATATGCAGATCTGGAAGAAATGTCAGGATTAATGATTTCACATAGAGCATGCACATAAATATTTTAAGGTTGATGATGGTGATATCTGAATGCGATATCATTTCAAAATATGGAGCATGCAATGTAAGTTTCAATAAATCATTACTTGCTGTTCATGAGAATTATTACATATTGAAGTTCTTCCCATTGTCATGCAAAGATGAGAGGAAGACTCTAAAACCCTAATTTTGTCATCATTCATGATTTTCTCCTAATTATTTGAAATCCATTTCATAAAACTTTGCCTCATCATTCATTCATGTTCAACTATATATATATATATATATATAGGTGTCAAAACATGTTGAAAGGTCTAGCTCAGGTCTGACCCAAATTGACTTGACTCGAAGATGGTCAACTTGAACTCGTCCTGTTTAATAAACACTCAAAAATACAAACTCAAACCCGACCCCAATAGTAATCCGAATGACCCATATTCGACTTATTAATTTGTTTTGGTTTTAAACTTTTTTTTATAACTTATTAACTATAAAATTTAAAATATTTGATAAAAAAAGAAAATTATACCTATAAATAAAAAAAAATTAAGGAAAAAAAGATATTAAATGGGTTAAAAATATATATGTTTGCAAGTCCACCCAAACCCGAATTTTTTAAGTTGGGTTCAGATCTGATTGGCGAATTTGGTAATTAATTTATGACACCTCTAATCGATAAGTCATCAAATTCACATATATTAGGCATGAATCTTGAGGCATATTTGCTAATTGGCAAATAAAATACATGATATTGTAGATATTGATGTCACAAGTCTAATGCATGTGATAGATCAAAATTTTAATAGTTTGGTTGGGAAGAATAACTCTTAAAAAAATTACCACTCGGGGCCATAAGAAAATTATGACTAAATTAATGATTTTTTTTTTAAGTAGTCATACAATTTTCCATTAATGGATTACAAAGTAGAGGTCTGTGGAGGTCGCAATGACCCTTAAGAGTATGAAACTTATCAAATAAACTACAAAATAGATCGATCCATCACTGCCTAGCTTGGGTGGGATCTTCTTGGTTCAGTTCTTTTGGACCTATTTAGGCCTTGAATCAAGTGGTCTTCATGCCCATGGATTCATCTTCATAAGGCATTCTCTAGTCGAACGTTAAACATGTGTATGACATCGTTCGGTCGCTCCAACCGAACGAAAAAACTTCTGCTATTTGCTTGCAGGTGAACAGTGTGACGTCAATATTGACGTCGCATTATTCAACAGGTATATGTTTTTATTTTAATTCAAAAAATTGGTTATTATTAATTTTAAAATTTTAAGTGTAGAAATTTGTTATTAATAATTAAGAAATAATAATTGAAAATCAAATTATTTTTTAGGAATTAAAATATTATATGTAATTTTTATTTTATTAAATAAATATTTATTTACTTAGGACATAGTAATTTTCCATATTACTTAGAAAATACATAATATATTTAATTCAAGAAATTGATAAATATAAATATATGATTAAAAATATAAAATAAATTATGAGAGAATATATTAGGAAAATTCTCTTTTTGGTGTTAGAAAATGAAATTTGGTTGAAGATCGACAAATTAGTGCATATTGGTGTATTACTGCATTTTAGAGTGAAAAAATGAAAAATGAGTTTTTCAATTGGAGATGCCCTAAGTAGTTATTTTGGCATGTTTTTTATTGTCATTTCTAAACAACTCAAGGGAAATATAAGCTCTAATGAAAATACAGCCTATATACCAATTCCTTATTTATACCTCGGTTGCATGCTCGACTTCATTTTATATAAATTTTATTTGACTTATGTTTCATCTGGGACGAATTTCTTATTGCTTCTTAAAATAATATTTTAAATTGCTTTAAGAAGCAGTAAGAAAGCAGCCCCAAATGAAGTCTTAGGCTTCGTTTGGGACGACTTTTTTACTGCTTTCTAAAACGGAGTTTTAGTACAATTTTTTTTATTTTTATACTAAAACTCCGTTTTAGAAACCAATAAAAAAGCCGTCCCAAACGAAGCCTTAATCCCCATTAGTTATGTCACTTTATACTGTAATCAAGTTCAAAAGCTGGGCCATTCGACATAAAAGTTGGTGAAGGATGATCAACTCATACAAACCTTCAATTCCTTTTCTCCTTTATCATCAAAGAGAGACCAAGTCCTTTATTGACGAGTTCTCCCAAAAGTAAAGACAAACATAACAATTGAAGCGTGCCTATTTCTGTTACAAAGGACATCACAAGCATTGCAACTTTCAAAAGTAGTCTTCTCTCTCTCTCTCTCTCTCTCTCTCTCTCTCTCTCTCTCTCTCCCCCCTATTGTTTACAGATCACAAGGATTATATCTCTTCCATCAACTTGATCATTTGAAAATGTGTTAGAACAATACAAATAAAATTTGACTGGAAATGAAAGACATATACGCTTGAAATAGAGAATGTCATAAAGATGATATGGTTAGATCTCTCCCATAAAGTCAACACATTTACATGTTCAGAATGTTATAAAAAAAGCTTAATATAGAGAAAATGGTGGACATGGTTAGATCTCTCAATATCAAAATCTTGGATTCCAGATCTCCACTATATTGGTGAGTCAATTATGATACCATTTCTTTTTATTATATATAAAATAAAGATGATAATGCAAATGTGTTGATAGAAAAACACGTTTCTTTATAAAAAAAAAAAAATTCTTGCTGTTGATCAGAAAGTGATATGCCTTACATCATAAGCTGAAATGTGATTAGAACGTACATCTGGTCATGTTTTTCATTTTCCAAGTAATCTCACACTCTAAGCAATTAGTCTCTAACAAGCTCATAAATTTACTTTCTATATGCAACAAACCAAACACTTAGAAATAATCAAAGTACTGTGGGATTTGAAAAGGCTCATCTCTCTCCTTCTTGCTCAACTTTGACATCACCACCTTAGAATTTCTCTTGAGCAAAGCTGATCTCTGATCTTTGGGGACCTCAGGTGGCTTCACAGATCTTATCAAAGCCCAATTCACACCCTTGAAGAACTCATGCCTCTTAATCTCAACTGATCCCTTTAAACTTCCAATCCTCTTCTTTGGGTTCTTGACAAGCAACTTACTAATAAGGTCTTGTGCTCTTAACAACTCTTCCATGTCTTTTAAACCTTCCACTTTTGGGAAGCTAAGTTGTTGCTTCATAATGTTCATGATAGTCTTCTCATTATTCTCACCCTTGAATGGTGTCTTTCCATATATCATCTCATAGAGGAAGACCCCCAATGTCCACCAATCGACGGCACCACCGTGGCCGATACCGGAGATGACCTCCGGTGCGAGGTACTCATGTGTGCCTACGAATGATTTTGACCGTGCTGTGATCGGCTCAGCGACTAGCTCAGTATGGAAGAATTGACCAACTTCTTGGCTTTCCTCTTTAATATTTGCTTCTCCTGTAGGTACTGCAAGCGTCGTTCCTACATGAGAAAGCTTTGGTTTTACTTTGACCTTATGGGCTCCACCGATGCGGCCCGCACGACCTCCATAAAAGCAAGAGATCACGGGTTGCATCGGTGGCGGTACACATGAAGATGGCGTCGTCTTGATACTACTATTGACAGTAAGGGGTGCGCGAAGGAGTCTCGGTACAACCACACATTTGAAAGAGAGGTCAAAATCAGAGAGCATGATGTGCCCGTCATCCCTAACGAGCACATTCTCAGGCTTGAGATCACGGTAGACAACTCCCATCATGTGGAGGTATTCCAAAGCTAAGATGGTTTCTGCTGCATAAAACCTATTACAAGAAAGACGTAGACATATATAAACATAAATTTCCTTTATTTATAGCAAAGCACAAATCATACATAGCTCTAAATAAACTATGGAATTATATCTAAATAATTTTGTTTTATTTTTTTCATGATCATTGATTCTCTCTCTAACAAAAGCAACACATTAGCTTGCGTAGAATGCTAAATGATTTAAATGATTAAAGATATAGTAATATTTTCTGTATTAAAAGCTATAATACACTTTGATTTCACAATAAAATTATTATATAAGCAAAATCATCATTAGTTAATTTTCAAACTATAATTAACTTACTTGGCAGAAGCAACAGTGAATCGTCTTTCTGGCTGCCGTTGCCTTGCAACATACAGATCCCCACCGGGGCAAAACTCCATGACCAGACACGAGTAATGGTGAGCTTCAAACTCGGCATACAAAGTCGGCAAGAAAGGGTGGTCGAGAGATCGGAGAATTTCTTTCTCCGTCTCCGCTCGCCTTAGCTTCTTCCTAACGGCGAGGGCTTCGCGGTCGACGACCTTCATGGCGTATAAGCAAGACGAGTAGCGGGGGTCATCACGGAGCTGACAGAGATAAACGTTGCCGAGATCGCCGCTTCCGAGGCGACGTACGAGGCGGAAATGGTCGAGACGGATGCCGGAGGAGGCGGTGGAGCGGAGGCTTTTGATGGCTTCCCATTCGATTTGGTTAGATTTGTGAGGTTTGGAGGGGGAAGGGGAAGAGGAGCGGAAGCTGGAAAGGGAGCTGAAGTCGCTGAAGCGGCTGTAGCGGGACTCAACGGCCGTAAAGGAGGAGGAGGCGGAGCTCTCGTGGTCGGAATCCATGGCGGGAGAGGTTGTTGGGTGTTAGAGGTTTTTCTTTTCTCTCTCTAGAGATGGAAGGAAATGGGTACTTATTTATAGCAAAAAGGGACATATAACTATATAAGATGCTATATATATATAAACGGTGGCAAATCAATTTTTCGTTCTTATAAAAAATAATAATTCTCATTATAAACGGTGGCAAATCAATTTTTTTTTTTTTTTAAAGAATTAATGGAAAGTGTTTTTTGAGGTTTTAAATTTTAAAGTATTTTTAGGTTTCATTTATTTTTGTTTATCTCTTGAAAAAGTATTAAAAAAAAAGTATATAATTTTTTATTCATTACGTATATATTTCTTTTATGATTTTATGAGCATAATAAGAGAATATGATTCCTATTTTTAAATAATATAGTGAAAACTTAAGCAAGAATTAAACTATTAAGATTTGCATAAATTCAATTTATATGATTTTCATATTTAATATACCATTTATAACTGAAAAATATAAAAAGGAAAAATCTTCAATTGAATTAAAAAATTTATTTCAAGATGTGATTGATTGTGTTAGGTTGTTTGTTATTATTATTATTATTATTATTATTATTCAACAAAGCTTCACTCAGAAATTAAAAGCCATGTTATGATATGACAGGTTAGGTTTGTTTGTCTCTTCATGTTCTTCAACCAACATGCAAGTAACTAAGTAAGCCTTTGATGAGCTCATAGTTAAGATGCTTAGCTGAATGCTTTAGTATCAATTTGTGTGGTTTAAAAGGCAAATAAATCAGATGGCATTAATATGTGATAAGTTTAAGGTTTGTTTGAGACAATTTTTTTTATTGTTTTGTAAACTTATCGTAGAGAAAATAATTTTTAAAGGTACTGTTGTAGAAAGCATCGATCTTCCTAGCACAAAATATTTTGAAAACTTTGAAAAAGAAATAGCTAATAAACAGAAACTGTAGTTGCATGTAGTCTGAAAAGTAAAGCAGTAAGAAAATGGTGTTTGAGCAGCTTTCTTACTGTTTTAACATTAGTTTTTAGCACAAAAAATTAATGAAAATAATAAAAAAACAGTGGCAAAAAATTGTCTCAAACGAAGCTTAAGGTTTCGTTTGAGAAGACTTTCTTATTACTTCTTAAAGTAGCTTTTTTAGTATAAAAATTAAATTTTGTACTACAAAGCTGCTTTAAGAAGCAGTAAAAAAAGTCTATCAAACAAAGCCTAAATCTATTTCATCACAAAAGCTTTGATTTTGATCATTTTAGTTGTTTTAATGTGTAGTTCTTTAAGTAAAATTTGTTAATTTGTTCACTTTAGCTCACTTTGTGATTTACCAATGCATGCACTTTGTAATTTATGGCTCATCTTGTCAAGTAAAAAAAACATTTTTATTTTTCCTAAGAAATAAATGGCTTTACATCTAATTTTTTAAACAAAGAAAGTAACCCTTTAATGAGAAGCACAAGTTGGTTTTAACCTTCACAGGAAACTTGTGACACACCGGCCAAATTCAAAGGATGTTGTGAATGCTGCTTGGATTTCATAGCAACAAGAGATTGCACAGAGATGTAAAGAAGCAAAAAGAGAGGAAAAGAACAAAGGCTATTAATGCAGTGGTAATAGGGGAAGTGTTATCTATTAGTCTCTTTTATTGATAGAAATCTCAGTCTTCTGCGAAGTATCATAGGTGTCATGAGGGAACTTTTATTTGGTCCGGTCGGTCATAGGACGTAGCTCTACGTTCGGCTGCCAATAGAATCGCGACACGCGTTCTCATTATTTACCGCGCGCCCCACAAGCCGACCCGGAATGGACCCAGGATGGCTCGGTATTTCTCGATTTTACTAGGTATTGCTCTGTATTGCTAGGTATTGGTCGATTTTGCTCGGCAATAACCAATACCGAGCAAATACCGATCAATACCAAGTAATACCGAGCAATACCGAGTTGTACCGACTTTTTCTAGAAGTATATACTAGGTACAACTCGGTATTGGTCTTCACATAGCAGTATTTCTCGTTATTACCAAGCAATACCGAGCAAATACCGAGTAATAGCTCGCAATACGCGAACATAGCATTCTCGGGTTCCGGTCCCTTTGTCGGGCCGCGTGGTAAAGAGTAAGAGCACGTGGCGACATGTTATTGGCGGCCGAACGTAGCTCTACGTCCGGTCAGAGGACGTAATAATTGTTCGTCATGAGGAGCCATTCATATAACTCAAATCTAAAAGTAGTAATAAGGCAAAAACATATATGACGTTAGGGTAGGCGTCTCAGGTTTCATTTGGGACAACTTTTTTACTGCTTCTTAAAACATTTTTTAGTACAAAAATTAAAATTTTTGTACAAGAATATGCCGTTCTAAGTAGTAAAAAAGTCGTCCCAAATGAAACCTCAATCTTATGACCCATAGGTGCTTTTTTGATGAAATCATGTCACTCTATGAATCATTAAGCTTTAAAACTTATAGGTAGATCGCATTTGCCCTTAGATCATGCATGTCTTGATCTAAGCCCATAAAGGGACCTAAGTGGTCATAGGCGACTATGACCTTAATTGACTTGCCAAATCAATATATGTTAACTTAATCCAAACTTAGATAGTGATATGCAAAACAAGAATTCATTCGCGAATAAAATCATAAAAGAAAAGTATGGAGATCTTATAGAATATTGGATTATAATTGAAAACTTAGATGGATGGCCTCCTTCACATGACACAATCATATGAATTATGTTGAAATCAGAATTCGAATGATTCTTATCCTAAATGTAATTTCAAAAAATTCTAATTCAAATATCATCTCGAGTTTTGTACTGATCATATGAATTTAGTGAAGATATTAGAATTATATAATGTAAAATATAATGCGGTACTAATAACTTAGAAATTTGAGGATTGAAATTATTGAAGGTAACGAATACAAAAACATGCTTGTCAAATGAATGCTTTTATTTTTATCTTTGATTTTTCTTCATAAATCATGTAACAATATAAACACTATTTCTCTTAGTTTTTTTATTATTTCTTCACTTCAAAATATATGAGTAACTCTATTGTGAACTATTTTTCCAAATTTTGGGAAGAAATGAGTCAAATGACTAATGTTGTAAATTCATAATAAATTAATTTTTATTCAAAAAAAGTATATTTCATGTTATATATAATATTATATGTAAATAATTTAAAATATTCAATGAAATTTGAATTAATCCCAAATCTTTAGTATAGTTAATTTATTAAACCTAATTATTAAAGATTGCAATGAAATTTTAATTATAACAAATGCAACTACAAAAATTAATACTTTTTTTGACATATAGATATATTGATAAACTATCATAGAAAATTCAAGCAAAATAATAGTAATAATAATAAAATATAATAAATTGTCTTTTATTAACATAATTAAACATGATTGTCATATAAAGCATAAATTTGATGATAGATTATGAAACTTATACTCATATAAAGTTTTAATAATATTAGAAATCAATTCTAAGATAATATAATTTTTTTATCAACAAATTACTTATTATTATTAATTATACATATAATAAATTTTCAATAATTAGATAAATAAAAAATATATCTAAATAATTATAGATTAAATAAAATATAATTTAAATCTTTTTATCAAATTGTTTGGAAAACATGTGCATATATTTATCAAAATGAAAATCTTTTTTATATTTTATAAAATTATTTTCAAGAAGATCAAATAATATTAATTGATAAATAGAAAAGAATTGTGAAGAACTATCCTTTGTCATGAGTTAAACATAGCTCAAATATTTCAATAATCTATGCTTCATTTGAGATATACTTTCTTAATACTTTAATTTTCAAAAAATAACTATAATTTCTAATTGGCAATTACTTTTTTTTCTTTCAAAAATTTTATGTACTAAAAAGTTGCTTTCTATAACAATTATAAGTTTAGTTTAGAAGAGCTTCTTAATGTTTTATAACATAGTTTTTTAGTACAAAATTTTTTAGTTTAAATTTTTTTTTTTTTACTAAAAAGCTGTTTAAGGCTTCGTTTGTGATGACTTTCTTACTGCTTCTTAAAGCAACTTTTTAGCACAAAATTAAATTTTTATACTAAAAAGCCGCTTTAAGCAATAAGAATGTCATCCCAAACAAGGCTTGAGTAAGCATTATGAAAGCTATCCCAAATGAAACCTTAAAAGGTTACTTTTTTTATATAAGTAAGTTGTTACAAATTAATAAGAAAGTTTTAAGCAATATATATATAAACAATTTAATCAAATAAAGTGACCATTTAATGAGAAGCACAAGCTGGTTCTAACCTTCACAGAGAACTTGTGACACACCGTTAAAATTCAGACAACGTTATGAATGCCAGATGGACTTCAGAGTAACGAGGAGATTATTTAGTTATATAAAGAGTGAAAGAAAGAAAATATTGGTAGCTCGAGAAATAGCACGAGAAAAAAGAACTAAAGGCTCATCAACTCTTAAAGTAAAGATATATTTAATTTTTCTAAAATTTGATCCAATTCTCATTACTAGTACTAAAATATAATTAAATTTTTATCCTTTTTTATTTTTATAATAAATTTTTAATATCTAAAATATCTAAGACATTAGCCATAATAGCTTTCTTGATTAATTGAGTAGTAGCAAAACTGCAAGTAGATAAACTGTAAAATAATCTAATAGTTAGAGACATATGAGGGAGGTAAAATATAGTGGGATAATTAAAAGATGTTAGGTCTCAGTAAAAAATCAATAGCCCAAGGCATAAAGTGAGTGATAATATTAAATGAATAATCACATTCAAATAGCATATTGGTAGTGTTTTTATTATAATTTTTGCATAGGTGATAAATTGCTTGAGCATGTATTCCCATTTTGATTAGCTTACCAATAGTTTCAACCCACCAATAATCATCAACCAAGCATGACGTACATGAGTATAGAATCATGTAATGTTTATGCCATAAGAATCGGGCTAGGATACAGTGGGATAGTCACTGTAAAAGTCCCGAGACCTTTGAAAGAAGGAGAGGATGAGTTTTTCTAAAAGAGTTTGTTACCATCAACATTCATGGGGCAATTATAGATAATTCCATTTATAATAGTCATAGGTAGAGAATTTGGCAACTCCTAAGATCCATCAACAATAAATGAGGAGGTGGTGGAATTAGAGGTGATGGAAGAAGGGATAATAGAGCCAAAAATTTCAAATAGACATTTTCCCTTGCACTAAGAATCCCACAAAAAGGAGAAGTTACAAGAAGAAACAATATATAAATTAAAATTGCCTCTAGATCCTTCAATAAAATAAAAAATGTTTTTTTTTTTTCCAAAAAGAGGAGCAACCATTGGGAGACCTCTTCCAAAAATGGAATACTTTTCTCTGCATTAGGCAGTCAAAAGGCTATAAGAAGTGAAAACTTGTGAATGAATGAGCACCAATATGCATGAATTAACCGTGGGTGCTAGGAAGACCCAAACCTACCAAAGATCTTGAGCAAGCAGGTGTTGACCCTATATATGAGGTAGAGTTTATGAGGAGAGTATTTAATGCATGTTATGATATAAGAATTTGGCACATCTTTTGTTTATAAGCTTATAGCATAACTTAGGTAAGATGGAACCCCTGATCCAATAGGAAATACAATTCCAAATGTTAAACTTAAGGTATTGCAATCTTCTAATGAATGACAATATTTTAGCCTTCCAACCATCCAAGATAGCAGAACTTTTTTGAGACAGTGGTTCAAAGTCAGAAATAGAAAGTTTCTTATTAGAGATTGGGGGTCCTAAGTATTTTAAGGGGAAGGCATCAGCTAAGAGGTTAAGAATGGAGCAGATATCAAAATAATTGGAAGAGTTGGGAGAGAAGTTGAGGTGGCTCTTATCATAGTTAATCATGATGCCTAAGAGTTGACTAAAATTATCTAGATCTAGTTAAGAATACAAGCATTTTGAATCATAACTTGACCAAGTACCAGTAAATCATTGGCAAAAATTAGATTAGTTAGTGAAGTGGTGGCAAGTTTCGATGATACCCTTATGTCACGTTCCATAATCTAATTTGGAAGAATTCTTTATTTTATCTTTTATTATATGATAACCAAAGCTATTTAATTTCATTTATCAATAAAAAATAGTTGAGATAAATTATATAATTCAAAATATTAATACACATATACATTCATCGACCAAATAATGAATCATATATAATACATAAGAATTATATAATAACACTGACCGTTGTTCGAACCTCACGGCAGACGAGGGAGCGGGCGCACGAGCTGGCGCGCACGAACCCCAATTATAAACCATGATTGCAGCTCTTAAGGTCTTTATTTTGGACTGTATATTAGAAATATGATTTCTATCACCAGGTTGAGAGAAAAGGTAGATGAAGATTTCTCAACATTGGGAAAATTTAGATCAATAGTTCTCATATTGACATCTTTGAAAACCAACATGCTAGGGGCTTAGTGAAAGGACCAAAGGGGAGTGGTGAGAACATCCACACCCATCAACTTTATAATAAGAAGTGAAAATTTGTTGTAACGAAGAGTCATAACTAGCATTATGTCCAATTTGATATGAATATGATTATTAGTTCTTTGATTAAACCAAGTATAATTAAGACCAACAGAGGCAAGATCTTGAATGCTATAATCAAAGGTAAAAGAATTAAGTTCCCTAAGGTTGCTTTGGAGCATAGAAATCCCTCCAGTTTTTTCATGGGGTATTTGTAGCAATTAAATTCCCCAAGGAGAATAACTGCTCACCTCAATTTGCTTCAGATCTTGCTAGAGAGAGGCACACGAAGCACTAGTGTTGGCTACATAAATAGCAGTTACTAGGAAAGGAGGGAGAGTATCAAAAGAGATCTGATCATGATTGTATTGATAAGTGATAGAGATAGGAGAGAAGGTTAAAGTGGAAGTATTTTGTTTTAACCAAATCCTTCCCATGTAACAACAACAACAACAATAACATCAAGCATTTGTCCCACTACGTGGGATCGGCTACATGAATCCTTTTTCGTCATTGTGTCCGGTTAAAAATCAAAGTCTCATTTAAATCTTTCCCATGCAAGAGAAGAAAAATGGTCACATCAACTCTCATTATCAAAGAGTTTGTTGGCAGCCAAAAACTAAGAATTTAAAGCACAGACAATCAATATATTGGCTTCAATAATACATAAGCATCAAGTTTTGAAGAATTGATTAGCCCTTGCAACTTAGGTCTTTATCAAAGTTGCTAAAACCCCACTTGTTTCATGAAGCTATTGTTGGGAAGAACATTGGTTTTTGGAGGTGGGATGGTCGGATTTTTTTTTGGATATAAAAATAATAAGATAGATGCTAAAATTCTTAAATTAAACACAAGCTAAGATGGGCCGGGCCAAGCATTTGGCCCGCCAATTCATGAATTTCGCACTTCCCGCTCGATGGAAACAGTGCAGGGCAAAAAAAAAAAAAAAAATCCGGCGAAACAAAACGACCTTCGCGAGCAGAACGGAAATATACAAAACCCTTAAAAAAATACGTTCTACTGATAGAGCGGGATCCATCGGTTTAATTTCAGTAGGGCACGGGACGAAGACGCCATTCGTGGTCCTAGGGTTTGGTTTCAGAAGATGAGTTCTCCTCATGGCTTCAAGCCGACCCCAAATACTCCGTCAGCAAAGGCACTTTCGACCTTAATCCTCTTTCGTTCGATTCTCTGAAGCCAAAGATTAACGTTTTTTGGATTGCGCACTTTTGATCTTTTTATTTCTGGCACACTTCCTTTTGTGTATTTGTTCAGATTTAAATTGAGCATGCATTGTATTTGTGTTAAAAAATAAAGATCCTCTTCCAAAACATAAAAGCTTTGTAATGGATTTGAGTATAACGGTAGTTTCCAACGCTTTTATTTTTTGAATTACAGGATTCTCCAACATCGATCTTTTTTAACAACTTGTCTCCAATAAAAGTGACTAGCAGCAGATTAAGTAGCCAAGCTTTTGATAACGTTGATGTTCCATCCCCTCCACCGGTCTTCGCAACACCACAAAATCGCCTGATAAATTCAAAAATGTGGAAAAGGTAACAGCTTGCTGCCACACTTTCTATTTTACAAGTGAAAGAGAATAATACAGTAAACTTGTTTTGGTGTTTGTGTAGGTCAGAGAACCTGGCTTTCCCTGGTTCTCAGAAGATCTGCCCAGGTGATGCAGATCTGGTTGGCACATCTTTGGAGTATCCTGATGCGACCATTCAATTTATTCCAGTGGCAGCTGCCCAATTAAGTAATAGTAGTGACAAGCAGTACAACAATGATCATCATCCTCAGGATGAGGTTTGTAGGGGTCTTTCAAATGGTGTGGATGATTTTTTTTCCATTCCCAGTGAAGATTGTGAAAATACCTCTTGTTCACCGGGTTTTTTCTTGGGAGAAGCTGATGATTTGGTTCGGGATAAGGAAATCACTCCCTTTAGCAGCAATGGGGATCAGATGGCATTCTTCAATGCGGATTCTGCACAATTTCCTGCAGTTAAATCTGCCGCCACTGTCACCAATTCTGTGGCCGAATACACCAAGCATTTAAATCTTGTTAGCACGCCTAACTTGCAACCAAATAAGGATGCTCTTCCTCAAGAATTTCCAAAAAATTCTATTGCCTATGAAGGGTCTAACAAGGAGTTTCTTATATCAAATGCTGGCGATAGTTCCAACTTAAATATTGTAGATCAAAGTTCGTCATGTCAACCTGAAAAAGATATTTCCAAGAAGAAGCCAAGTAATCGAACTGTGCCCGCTGCTTTTGAAGAGATTGAAAAGAAGGGAGGGCTACTTGGCAAGAAGATCGAAGCTAACTTAAAGTCTTTTGTAGATTTAATTTCTAGCACACAAAATGAACCTATTACACCTGATAGTAATGGATCAAATCATTCCGGTGTTCCAAATAATATGAATTTCAAGAGTATCTGTCATGTGAATGAACACCCTAGCACTTCCAGTTCTTGTTTGCTCAAAATGCAGGACGTCAATTTGTTTTCTTCCAGGACAGATCATTTAGGTAAATTGGGTTGTATTTATGAGGAAAAATGTGAAATACCAAGGAACATTCAGTCCCATGCTAATCATCTTGTTATCGCAAGCCAGATGAGAGATGCATCTGGCATGAGCCAGATTCCCTATTATCAGGAGGTACAAATTATCCGATTAGGCTGTGCATATGATTTCAATATATTTCCTTAAACTAGCATGAAGTTTTTGGTTCAGTGCTGTTAGTTATAACTTAGTGAATCAATGATGTTTTCAAAAATTTCAAAAACCGCCAACATTTTTAGATAGGGATGCAGATGATGATTATGATTATTTTTTCTTGTTGGTCTTTCAATGCCTATGGTTCTTATTTCCTTACATTATAGTTGCAATAAAGACTTTTCATATTATTGGTTTAGCTTTGCAAATGGTTTCAATATATATGTGCTCACATTTCTTGATATGTTTCTGAGCAAATTGCACATATTTGAGACGTGCATGTATCTTCACCATAGTTTTAGGGTTTAGGTAGATCCAGTACCCAAATCAGTATACTAAAAGTCAATCTGATACTCATAGCTTCTTGTACGACTTCTCTCATTCCTGTGGAATCAAACGAAAGTTCCAGTTGAGAAAAACGGTAGAGAGGAGAAAGGAGAAGGAAGAAAAAGAAGAAAGTTGGAAGAGGAAGGGGAAGAAAATTGGGATTTTGAATTTTCTTCTACTTTTGATAATAATGAAAGAAGAAGGATTCAAATAATATAAACTTCGATTTGACAGTGAAGGAAGGGAAAATTCATTTAAAAGGAAAGATTTTGTGAGTGAAATATCTTCATAATTGAGTTGAAACGAGTGTTGAAAAATTCACAGCAAAACTCTGCGTTTGGAAAGAATTAAAGATTGGAAATAATCAAAGTGGATAATTAAAGTAGCGTAAAATTTCAATATTGTATTTTCATTTTAAATTAGAAAGTTGTATTTTATATAATTGTTTAACTTATTTTTTGAGGCTATTATAAGTAAGACAATGTAAATTCAAATGCACCAATGATGGTGAAAATTTGATATAGAAATTGTTATAATTGAAAATGACTGAAAATATATATTGATATTATGAGAGTATGAAAATATATGAATATGTGAAAGAGATATTATATATTGTGTTAAAATAAATATAAAAGAAATACATGTAAAGAAAATAGAAAGTGAAGTTGGAAAGTATTTATATATACATGATACTTATATACATTTAGGAAATACAAGTAAAGAATGAGGAAAGTTTATATAATTTATAAATTATAAATAAAAGCAAATGAAAAAGAAAAAAGGATATGCATTAAAATTATAATAGTTCACCCTCGATTGGTATTGACTGGGAAAGCAACGTACCCATGTACGTTAAAAAGAAATGGAAATGGTTGTACCTTTATTGGTACATTTAGACAATGCTCTTGTACTAATGGAATGAAAATGAATTAAATTGTCAAATTAATTAAAAAAATATTAAATGGAAATGGTCAAAGGAGACATAATATGAAATAATTTATATGAAATTATAAGATCATAAAAAAATATTAATTTATTAATTATGTAAAGTTGAAGAAAGATGTATATTTATTTTATATGATTTATTGTTGTATATTTAATAATGATTACCCACTGAGTTTACTTTGTAAACTCATTCTATTAAACTAACATTTTCAAGTAAGTATGCAGATAAGTAAAAATGACTGAAAGAGAGGAGTATGTCTATAGAAGTCGACACTAAAATTAAAGCATTTTAAAAACATATTCAATGTAATAGTAGTGTTAGTGACTCTTTAGTGTATGAGGAATATAAGTCATTTACTGTTATATGTAATTGTGGGAAAAAAAAGTATTAACCATCTAACTGTTCGTTCCCGCCTTGTTAGTTCGAGTCTGCGGTCCAGGTCGTGACAAAAGTGATTGACATGTTGGCGTCTTTCCTCTTTTCCTTATGTTTAGTGTGCATAAATAACCTTTGATAAGTTTGTAACTAAAAAATATGAACTGCACCTTTACCTCACGTCAGTTAGGTTTAAGGCCTTTATTTTGTCTTGTTGCCATTGTAGAATTGGTAATGCCGTTAAGAATTAAAAGTTGAAGTGTGACTGTTTTGATGAATCTAGCTAAACTACTTACAAAATTTATATGCTAGCATTGTTGCTTTAATCAGTTTACCTCTCTTCCATAGTGAAGCTTTATCATAGCAAAAATAATATCAAATCACATGTATGACTTCAGACTGGGCTTCATTATGAAAAATAAATAATGATATTGAGGACTTTATCCTTTGTGAGGGTTTTATCCTAACAGAATAAGAACTTGAGAAAAGGACATAAAAATGTGGCAAGATGATGGCTGTAGGGGATTTTGAGCGGTTTTGATGCTCATCTTCTAGTTTCATATATTGACTTTTCCTTTAAATAATCATTGTAGGTTTTGATGGGTTTTTACATTTTTTTTTGTTTAGTTTGGGGACTTGCTTGCAGAGTTCCAGGCGATTGGTTCTTTTCTAATTGACATGGATTCATTTTGGCTAGCTTTAGCTATTATTGTTCAAGTCACTTCATGCGGGTTTGCATCTTCTACAGTTACTGAATTTCATAGTATCATTATGTGCATTCTAATTAGATTTTTTCACTATGGACAATTGGGACTGTCTCCGCAATTCTTCACGAAATCACTCATTTTGGAGGGCTCTTGATGCGGACATCCAATGGTCCATGCCTGCCCGAAGAGGAGCTGAAGATCGACAGTCGTGATCGTCATACGTTATCTTAAACTTTTATTTATAATTTTTATTTTAATTAAAGTTTTTTTTTCCATTTTTACCCTTAAGGGTCTAATCTTATGTAAGTCGTAGAGGCATGATCATCTTATTTTAGTTTCTTTTATTTTTTAGACCTATATATAAAGGCCCTTGCTAATGTAATGGTATGATAGAGTTTTAATAAAATTTTATTTTGCACTTTTGCTCCTTGGAAGGACTTAGTTCAGATCCCTATGGGAGCGAATCATAGTTTCCGCCAGCCGCAGGATGGGTCCGAGCTCTTGTCTTGAAGTCCCTTGGTGAAGGGCAACGCATCACCCGTTAGCCGCTGGAAGTGTCCGAGCTCACAGTTTATTTTCTTTCTCTAACCCTCCACCTCCTCCTTTAACCGCCGCCTAAATCTTCCCCTAGCTGCTGACATTCTACCTCCCATCCTCTTCCCCACCACCGGCCACCCAACCCCTTTTCCTTTCAACCGTCGGCCACCACCCTCCCCTTCTTCCAACCGCCGGTCTCCTCCCCATCTCCACCACAAACCGCCACCTTTGGGTTTCCCAAAACCCTAGCCATTGGCCCCTTGAATCCAAGGTGGTCCTTGCCTTTGCTACTTCCCAAAGTTAGGTTATGAAGATTGGGAAGGAAATTATTCAAATTCTGATTTCAAATTCATAATTGAAATCTTTCCTAATCTGTCATGATCTATATTTGAAAAGTTTTAAACCATTCAATACAAAATTCAAATTTAAATTAAGAGGAAATCGGAGTCATCAATTCCTCCTAATTTAATTAGCCTTATTTTGGGAAACCCATTAAACCTTTCCCTAACCCTCCCTCTCTCTTTGAAGCCGCCGGCCCCCTCCCTTTTTCTCCCTCCATTCAATTAATTTCCTTCCCCTTATTGCTCTCCAATTAACTCCCATCTCTTAATTTTAAATTTTAAAATTTGAAAGGTCTTTAATCCCTTTTCTAATTTAGGATTCTAATTAAATAGTCATTCAATTACCTCATTATCATCTTCCTAATTTAGCCCTATCTTATTTGGAAAGATTTCATAATTCAAATTCAAATGAATTTGAATTTTAAAATATTTTCTAAATATCATACACCTATTTTAGGAAATTCCCCTCAATTAGTGCAAATCTGAATTAAATGATTGGATTTGAATTTAATTCACCCTATTCAATGTATGTGGACACATACATAGAATGTGAACAATTCTCCCTCTCCCCTCTTTCTTTGGCCGGCCCTCATCCCTCCCTTCTCCAATAAATTAAGAAATTTTAAAATTCAAATGACCCCCTCCATCGTTCTACATCAGCTCTCAATGCCTCAATCCCAACCTTTCAATTCAAAATGAATGTGCTTGATAGGGTAGTTGCTCAATCCAATTACCAGGTATTTGGAGAGACTGCAAGCTCAATTATATGGTTATCGAGACATTGTGTTTATGTAATCTCATGGAGAATCAATCTGAATATTTTTTTTTTTATGAGTATTTTTAATGCTGTTCCACAGAAGCATCAAATCTTTGAAATCCTAATATTAATTTTTTGTCTGCATAATTAAAACCAATATATCTAATTGTAAATGGCTGTTATTTGGTTGTTTTGAGGTTTTTGGTCATTTACTTGTGTATTTCAAATGTTTATATTGCTGTATATTTACTCTTGTAATCAATTTAGGATCTGACCCATCATAGTCGAGGCATGTATAAGCGTCTTCAGTTTGAGGATGTTGAAAAGCACGAACAGAGTATTGCAGATAGTGAGAACTATATGAAGTTAAAAAGTCCTCGTTTCATGTCAGAGAGAACAACGATGGCTTCTAACATGGAAAGTCAGTATCCTTCTACTACAAATAGTTCGTGCAGAATTCAGACTACTCAGTCGCTATCAGGAAATATTTCGTGCAACTATTTGGTTAAGACTAATAGTTCTGAGCAAAGTAAGGGAAGATTCACTGCAGTGGCTCATAGATCGTCTGGTATTGGCTTGCACTTAAATGCCATAGGCATGCCTGGGAAGATAAGTGGCCATATAGATATGAAGATGGCAATGGAGAGTTTAGGGGTAGAAGGGAAAACCTGTTTTCACAATACTTGCGAAGCACCTTCACAAATTTTGAAGAATATGATTGTCTCAAGGAATGGAACTGGAGAAGTTTCATTACAGTTAATTTCTAATTCTGAGGATTCCTCATTTGGTTCAAAGGATGAATGCAATAATGATAGACTTCAAAAATCGTCAGATTCTGCTCCAGATTATCATTCGGCACTTGATGTTGAACCTTTGGATATGCGCATGCAACCGGAATTTAGTGATCACCACATAACTCCATGCAGTAGAAAAAGACAGCACTATGTAGAAGCTAGCCAATCAGAGGATTCAGCACAAACAACCCTTGGAAGAAAAAGGTAAGCATGCATTAGATTTAGGCTTTATTTGGGACGGCTTTTTTACTGCTTCTTAAAGCAGCTTTTTAGTTTAAAAATTAAAATTTTTGTACTAGAAAATTGCTTTAAGAAGCAGTAAGAAAGTTGTTCCAAATGAAGCCTCACTTGGTTTTACTGCTTTTCATTCTCCTTTTCTTTGCAATTTATTTTTGAGATTTAACAGGAAGAAAGATCCGGAGATTGAGGGACAAAAACGATGCAATTGCAAGAGGTCCAAATGCCTGAAACTGTAAGCTGCTTCTGAATTTGGGCTGAATAGGAATATTATTCTACCTGTCAATTTCATAATTTATTTTATGTTCCTATTTTCCAGCTATTGTGATTGCTTTGCTGCTGGAATGTTTTGCAATAAAACTTGTTCATGTCAAGGGTGTTCTAATAATTCTGAAAATGAAGAAATGGTCAGTTCAACAAGGCAGCTGATAGAAACTCGCAATCCACTTGCATTTGCTCCTAAGGTTGTGCATGCACATGGTGATCTTAAAGAGAATGCAGTAAGCATTTTATCTTTTATTTTTTATTTTTTTTTCTTTTTTCCTTTGTGCGGATAAAAAATAAATACATGTTTCAGGATAATAAGCATATAACGCCACCTTCAGCAAGGCATAAAAGAGGATGCAATTGCAAGAAGTCTAAGTGCTTGAAGAAATACTGTGAATGCTATCAGGTGTGTTTTTCGATTGTATTGCTCTTTTTTTAATCTTAATTATGCGTTTCAGTTTTTATATGTTTACTTATCTTGGTGCATACTCTTTTTTTTTTTGGTGAAGGCTGGCGTTGGGTGTTCCTTGGGATGCCGGTGTGAAGGATGCAGGAATGCTTATGGGACGAAAGAAGGTATGCCTGAAACTAGCTTGGTGTTGCCTTGATATTTTGTTGGTATTGCTAATTGAAGAATGCTAGCTAATTAGAAACTATTAAGTTGAGGTCCTTTAAGTTGTTGACCACAATAATAAGATTTTTCTTTTAATTTTAATTTATTTGTAGACTTTGCTCTAGTTTATGATATTATAATTGCTAATATTTTATATAAGAAAAGATAGGAGCATATCATTATCTATTAGAATGGACATAGCAAAATTTATATTGATTATTTTCTTATAAAAAAATAAATCGTTTATATTACAAAAGTTGTAAAGTCATTTCAAGTTAAAGTTTATGTACCTAATATCATTTATTAATTTTGGACTTTAAGATTAAAATATGAAATAAATAAATAAATAAATAAAATATTATCTTAGAATTAAATGAGAGTATTTTAAGAATGTGAATAAAATATTTTTTAGTGTAATATTCAAAATCTTAAGATTTGGGTTATTAGAGGAAGCTAGTATTATGTGAGATAAGTAGCTAGTGATATTAAGAATATTATAAAGTATGTATTTGAAGAATCATAAGAAAAAGCTCATAATATTAAAATAGTTGATGATGGAATCAAAATGTGTAAGAAAAAATAAAAAATAAGAAATTTTGTTATAAAAATTAATTTAAATGTAAAAGCTCAAAAAATTGAGAAAGATATAGAAGGGCTATGGGGATTCTAAGAAAATAAAATGTTATGCAAAGAAATTTAGTTTTCAGCGATTTATATAATATATTAAGTACTAAAAAGGATGAAATATGTAATTATAAATTAGCCAAGCAAAGTGATAAGAGAAGTAAGAGAGTTATTGCATATGAAATATATTAAGAATGAAGATTAAAAAGTGTTTTTTTTTAGAAGATGTTATTAAACATATGCGATGAGATATTTTGATAATTTTTTTTAATTAAGATTGTGAGAATATAATTGATTTTAGTGGACCTTAGCATTCTAAATGAAAATAAAGTTTTTATTTTTATTTTTATTGTTGTATTACTAAAATCGAAGTTGGTGAGGCTTTAAAGAAAATAAAGCTTGAAAAAGTAGTAGGATCTGATGATATTTCAATAGAAGTGTGGAAATGATTAATAGATCAAGGAATTTTTTAGCTTACTAAACTCTTTAATATTATTTTGAATACTGAAAAGATGTTAGATGAGTAGAGAAAGAGTGTTGATTCCCATTTTTAAGTGGAATTAAGTTAATGTGTCATACATTAAAATTATGGGAGAGAGTAATTAAGCATAGGTTATGATGTGACCAATGTTTCTCATAGGCTTTGTGTCGAGCAAGTTTACTATAGAAGTTATATATTTGCTAAGGTTTTGATGGTGTAGTATATAGATAGCAAGGAGGATGAACATATGATATTTATTGATTTAGAGAAAGCATATGATTAAATTCCAAGAGAAGTGCTCTGGAGAGTTCTAGAAGATAAAGTAGTTAATAATGCTTATATTCAAGTCATTAAGGATATGTATAAGAGTTGTTATTAGTATTCAAACACAAGATGGTTTGACCATGTTTCTATTTTAGTTGGATTGCAAAGGGCTAACTTTAAGCCCATATCCCTTTGCTTTAGTAATGGATGTGGATGCTCTTACTAGATACATGTAAGAGGATGTATCTTGGTGTATGTTTTTTGTTGATAATATTCTTCTTGTTGATAAGATTATAGAGGGGGTTGATAAAAAACTTGAATTATGGAGGCCAATCTTAGACTCAAAAGATTTTCGTCTGAGTAGATCTAAAACTGAATACATGAAGTATAATTTTAGTAATAATAGATTTGAGGTGAGATTAAGATATTGGATGTTCAAGTCATTAAAAAAGTGCACGTTTTATATATTTTAGGTCTATTGTTCAAAGAGATGGTAAAATAGATGGGGATATTATTAGTAGAATTCAAATTGGATTTTTGAACTGGAGGAATGCATCGAGCCTGTTGTGTAACTAGGAAAACTTTTATAAGAGTATGGAGACTCATGCAATATTTTATCTATGGTAAAGTTTGAAAGATGGATGGATCATTGCTTTAAGCATATGATAGTCTATATATATATATACATATTTCTTTGAGCTCTTTTCATAATGATGGATTTAATGAAAATGAAATCATAATTAGAGAGAATTCATCTAAATTCATATATTGTTGGAGGAATGGATAGGCAGAATTCTCTCCAGTTATGATTTCTTTTTTATTTCATCTGTCGTTATTAACAGAACCTGAGTAGTTAGTGCATATTTATGATGATGATCTTCTGATTGTCAATAATTGTATTCATCATGAGTTATGTTGGTGCCTTAAAGTGCATGTTTAATTCTGAAATTTGGGATTTTTTATTCTTTCATGATGTAGGATAATCAGACATTCACATGTATATTGAAGCAAAGGCACAATTTTTTTTAGTATAAAGATTATTGTGTATCTATTATGCAATAATTATACACATTATTAAGAGATATCAAAGACATTTTCTTGGAATCTTGTCGACTTTGCTATTTACTCACAAAGGACTATACTTAAAACATGAGAATTACAACCTTAGCACTTCAGGAAAGCGTAATGGTTGGCAGTTACGACCATGTCTTATAAATAGGGTGGTCTACTTGCATATGTATTTCAGTTTTTATATAATTGTGATTGTGCTAAAGGCCCTAATAATATTCTTGCCTACTTGCAGTGCATCGAGTCAAGACAAATTTATGCATGTATAACAATTGAATTCAATTTCCCAACATATTGTGTGATATGGATTGCATTTAGGATTGAAGTTTACATTCGAAATATTTGAGAAAGACCCAACAGTTGGGACTTACAACTCTAATCTACATGTTGAATTGATCACTTGAACATTTTAGCTTTTATACCATCGTTATCATGCCGGAGAAACGTATCTCCTTACTCATTTACTTGCATGTAGAGGATCAAGTCTAGAAGTCCAATTCCATAGCCAAGTGAGAAACGGAGTTTTGTATTCTTTGAAATGAGTGCAAGAATGTTCAAGAATGAACAAAATACTTTTTTGGATATTTTTCCATACTTTTAAATATTTTTCTTCCAAATTTTTTTAGTTTTATGACTTTTTTTTTCTTAAAACATCTTAAAATATTAAAAGCAGCACATCCTCATGTGATGTGATGAGTTTGCATTAGAGAATTGATGTGCACGCTTTTTTGGAGCAAAATAATTTGAGTCTAAGTTTTCTCAAAGAACATGCATAACAATTTTGAGTTATTGTAATTTCAATTATTGTACTCTTAATACAAGAAACACACAAACGTAGGAGGTTTAGTAGATATGTGAGTAATAATTTAAGCATGTTTGTTAATGTCTTCTCAGCGCACAATTTAAGAGTCAATTATATCATCAAACTTCAAAGCAACACAATCTAGTGTCCTGATACCTATAAAGATGATGTTTACAGTTATATATATATATATACACACACATGAGAATAATACATGCTACAAAGAGAACAATACACATATGAGCATAAGATTAATGACATACTCTGCATTAAGTCACATAGAACATTAATTACATAAATCACCAAAACATATTCATAAGCAACTTATCTAAGTAAATAAATAAGAAATCTAAAACCATCTAGAGAGCAAGGGATACAAGATATTTTTTGTGTTGTTAGACATCTAATTGACCTAAATCCAAAGCCTACATACTTGGGATTTTACTATCCAATTTGCTACTGCAAGCTAAAATCTTTCATTCCTCGAGCCAATAGAGAAATCATCATAAACTTATTCATTCATGGACAATGGTACTCGTTTTTTTCTCGCAAGAGCACCTCACAACAAGCCTTACAACCCTAAAGCTTCTTCAAGTCAATTAAACAAATAAAAATAACTATCCCAAGTGGGTCTCACTATTTGGAGGTGATAAAGGCTATTAACAAGTTTACACAACACAATCTCTATTCAAAATATATTGCAAAACACAAATGAAAATCACTTGTAATGACAAAGAAAGATTGAAAGAAAGATCAAGTAGAGCAATTAATAAGCTTTGATTTGAATAAACACTTGCTTTTTTAATATTTAATTCAATATAATATAATAAGATAAGCGATAAAATCGTCATTACTCTTAACTATTCATCACAGTATAACGCATACATATAGCCATAAAATCTCTCCCCAAACATCCAAAAGATTCCCCTTGAAAAATCATAAAAACCTACTCAGAACACTCTTCCAACAACTAGAAAACTTGGTCATTGGTCATTACTAGGGCTAGAACGAATTGAATATTAATCCTAGTATGTTTGTTGAGTTGGGTTTAATCGTTAATGTGCACTAATTTACATTATTTTTTTGAAAAAAAAAGAATTAATATTTTATACAATTATAATAAATTTAAATTTAATTGAAAATGTAGCCTATAATATATGAAATTATATGCAAACAATATGAATCCAATGGAATAAGAATTATGCCCAAATTAGTTAACTATAATATAGTTGTTTCATTAACTCTAATTAATATATAATTATTATCAATTTTAAATATCAAATGAGCTCAAAAAGCCTTGAATTTTTTATATAAAAATATAGATGTATTAATAAGAAAGTTTGAAATCTATGCAATTGAGCATTGAGATGTTTTTTGTGCGTGAGATAAGATAAACTTTGAGGCATAAGCTTCAAAATCAAACATTAAATTTATAAAAAAGTGTCGTACTAACATGAACGTAAGCTATTAAAGTAAGATCATAACAATAAGTTTCTCCGATTTCTAATTCAACTTGAACAATTAGTCTAAGCCACTAAAATTATAATTTATGATTTCAAAAGTCTATTTCACTCGCATCACTTAGTGTGTCTATATTAGAACCATCATTATAATGAATTACTTTCTTTGCTCTCTAATTCTTGCAATCATCTTTCTCATCTTCAATTTCAACTAGCCTCCTCTTTTTTAATTAATAAAAAACCAACAAATATATTAATTAAATTTAAAAATTTATGACTATGTTGATTATTACAATTTTAATCACATAAACTTAATAGTAACCTTTCTTGTTGACTTGCATTGGTTTCACTCCTTCCATCAAAGAGATCAATTTTAAGATCTTCCTCTTGCAATTGTGATTGCGAGATTTCATTCTTAGCCTCCATAAGTCATTCATCATCTAATAACACATCATTAATAATTAACTGATTTTCATTATCCTCCAAATTTATCTTTCTCAAATATTTATCTTTTTTTTAATCTTTTAATCACCTATTATATATGATGTTAAATTCAAAGATTGGAGAGGGAAAAGTCTTAATTTTATTGCATAAACTTGTTCTTATTTATAGATCTATAGAAGATATTTTAATAAATAAATAAATAATTACACAATAATGCATAATTGTTCTAATATAATCCTTCCTAAATTAGCTTTCTAAATATAGAAGGAGATCAGCGTGATCTAGGTTAACCTCCCACAGATTCTCATCTTAGTCGTGGGATCAGAATGCCAAGGGATGGCTAGGATTTAATAGGCGAGCCTCCCACGAATTATCATCCTAGCCGTGTGACCAAAATGCTAAGGGATGAATGGGATTTAACACTCCCCCTCAAGCTGGGAAATACAGATCCGTAATTCCCAGTTTGGTAATCAGTCCCATAAAGGTTGAGTTATCAAGTCCATTGGTGAGAATATCTTCAAGCTGATCTTTTAATGAGACATGATCGATACATATAAGACCATTGTCTAATATCTCCTTTATAAAATGTTTGTTTTCTTCTATGCACTTGGTCCTGTCATGTTGAACCAGATTGTAAGCTATGTTGATTGTTGATTTGTTGTCACAATGTAGCTTCATGGGTCCTTCCCACTTAATCCTGAGGTCTTCTTGAATTATCTTGATCCAAAGTAGCTCACATATTTTTAAGGCCATAGCTTTGTATTCTGCTTTTGAACTAAATCTTGCCACCACATTCTATTTCTTGCTTCTCCATGTAACAAGATTTCCTCCAAGGAATATCCAGTATCTTGAGGTAGATCGTCTATCTACTGGTGATCGTGTTTAATCTGCATTAGTATATGCTTTTGGGGTTATCCCACAGCCTCTTCTATAGAGAATCCCTTTACCTAGGTTTCCTTTAAGATAGTGCAATATTCTATATATAGCTTGCACGTGAGTTTACTTTGGATTTTGCATTATTTAACTGACCATGCTTGCAGTAAATGTTATATCTAGTCTGGTGTGGGAAAGGTAGATCAATTTCCTCTCAAGTCTTTGGTAAGCTCCTTTATCCACATTTTGATTTTCTTTAGCTTCCTCCAATTTGAGATTTGGTTATATTGGTGTTGGTGCTGATTTACAAGCTAGTTTACTTTCTTTTTTAAAGAATATCATTAATGTATTTTTGTTGTTAAATGAAGATTCATTTGCTGGAGTGGGCCACTTTAATTCTAAGAAAATACTTTAATCTATCAAGATTTTTTATTTCAAGTCCTTTGCAAGACATTTCTTTATAATTACTCTCCTTTTCATCATTCCCAATTAAGATGATATAATTCACATAAACTAATAAAATTGTGATTTCCCTTATGTCTAAGTGCTTGAAGAACAATCTATGGTCTCCTTGGCTCTGCCGATAACCATTAAGTAGCACAACTTTTGAGAATCTTCCAAATCGAGCTCTAGGTGACTGCTTTTGCTCATATAGAGCCTTTTTGAACCTACACACTTTGTTGCCTCCAGATTATTGCTTGAATCCTAGTGGAATCTCCATAATTATTTCTTTCTCCAAGTCCCCTGTTAACCTCTGTGTAAACCACACAAAAGAGGAATGAAATCATGGGCCGGGGACGAATTTTCGGAGCCCACATCCCCGTGTATGAATGCATTTTTGACATCCAACAGTTCTAGATGCTAGTTATAATTTAGCTGCTAGTGAGAGCAGGATCCTCACGGTGTTCATCTTGGCCACATGTGCAAAAGTTTCTTGGTAGTCAATCCCATATGTCTAAGTGTACCATTTCACCACCAGTGTTGCCTTATACCTTTTCAGTGTACCATCAGCTTTGTATTTCATAGTGAACACCCATTTGCAGTCGACTTGTTTTTCCCCTACTGGTAGATCGGTAATATTTCATGTATTGTTCTTTTTCAGGGCTTGCATTCCATCTTTCATTACACTTTTCAAATTTTCATCAGATAAGGCTTCAAAAATATCATTAGGAATATAAATATCATTTAGTATAACCAGAAATTTTTTGTGTGAAGGTGAGAAGTTATGGATGGATATAATGTTAGTTATGGGGTATAAAGGATTTTTTTGATGAACTTGTATTTACCTCAATTTTAGGAGACAGTTTAAATTTTTGGATTTGCTTTGGAGCAAACTTTGGATTTTTATGCATTGAATACACTTTTTCAAACCTCATATTATCCATAATAGCTTTGTTATCAATTTCCCTGGCTTTGATTTTAGGTTTAGGTGGATTGGTTTGAGGTGGAGTTGAAAGGTCAAGAGGGGCATGCTCACTTTCCTCATCTTCCTCAATTTCAGTCTCCCCTTTAAGATGAGTATTGGTGAAAAAAAAATTTTGTTCATCAAAAGTAATGTCAATGGATACAAGAGATTTCTTGGTAGAGGGATGATAACACTTATAACCTTTCTGGGTGGATGAATATCCAACAAAGATATATTTGAGTGCTCTTGAATTTAATTTTCTTTTATTTTGACTGTGAATATGAACATAGTCAGTGCACCCAAAGATTTTGGATGTGAGGTTGTTATTGGTTCTAAATTCAGGATAAAAAGAGGATAGAATATCCATTGGTGTTTTTAGTCTCAACTTTGTTGAAGGTAGTCAGTTTATGAGATATATAACGGTCAGAAGGGCTTCCCCCCAATAGTATTTGAGTACATTGTGGTGGAATAGAAGTGCACTGATGGAGGCCTAAGGATGGTCATTTTGTTCTGTAACTCTGTTTTGTTGTGGGGTATGAATTCAAGAAGACTCATGAATGATACATTCCTTTTGAAAGGAGGATAGAGTTTGGTTAAAATAATCTTTGGCATGAACAAAATTTTCTTATTTTTACCTCGAATTGATTATGGATCATTATGTGAAAAAAGGGAAGCATTGTGCTCACATCGGATTTATTTTTTAGGAGAAAGATCCAAAAGACTCGAGTGCAGTCGTCAATGAATGATACAAACCATCGACCCCTGAGATATTAGGAATTTTTTAGGGTCTTCAGAAATCAATATGAATAAGGTAGAAAGGAGTATGACATCTCTCAATTTTGTTTGAAAAAAAAAAAAACTCTTTTATGCTTCGTTAACTCACAAGTTTCACAATGAAAATATTCATTTTCCAACTTGTAAGAAAATTTTGGGTACATATTTTTAAAACATCAAAAGTTGGATGTCCTAATCTAAAATGATGAAGCCAAATAGTAATTTTTTATTAAATAAGGAAAACATAGAATAGCCATCATTGATAGTAGTGGATTTGTTCAACTCTTCCAGGTAGTATAGTCCATCTCTCTCCTTAGCAAGCCCAATCTTCTTCCCCCATCATTGGTCATGAATAAGCAACAAGTAGGGTTATATAGGACTTGACAATTATGACCATTGGTAAATTTTTGTATAGAGATTATGTTTGTGGCAAATTTTTGAAGGAGAGTGGCATATTCAGTCACGATCTTGCTTCCTTGTTTTGTGCTTCCCTCATTGACTTTAATTTCGAAGATTTATGCAGCATCTCGAGCTTTTGAGAAGGTTTGTTTGACGGCATTCCACATGTTTTTTGTAGTAGATGGGAACATGGAAGTATCAATAATTTCTGGAGTCATGAAATTCCACAACCATGACATGATCATGAAGTCTGCTTCATCCCATGCCCAAAAATTAATATCTTCTTTTGGTCCTACTCTAAGGAGATGATTCATCTTTCCTTTTCCTTTCAAATAGGTCTTCACAAATTGAGACAATTTCAAATATTTTTTCCATTTAAGCGATATGAATGTTGCATATTTTGGAGATCTCTTCCTTTATAGAATCCTCCATTTGGTCAAGTTAAATTTGATCTATAGATTGGTTGACTTGTTTTTAACAAATTGATATTGAGTTTAAATAATAGCCTTTGAGGTGCAAATGTTGATGCTGCTGAAGCTCCCATTTCTCCTTTTATGATTTTTCAAATTTATCTTGTATATGGACTCATCTCCTGCTAAACTATGCTATGAACTCCTTTGCCTCATCCATTGCATTAAACAAGTTTACATCAAATTACAGCTTGTTTAAACTCTGAAGAACTTATGTTTGGTTAGATGACATATATATTATATAGATTGATCATGTATGGTAATTTTCTTTCACTTTGTTCTCTTTGTGTTGTTGGTTCTAATGTGGGTAAATTTCTTGTGTGCAGCATATGGTGATATCTCTGAGATAGTTGTAGAACATCAAAAACCCAAGGAGGATAGCATTAATGGTCTGCCATCTGTTGAAGCACTGAAGGTTGTGGAGGGTAACAGCAAAGAAGCATCTAATACGAAGCAATTCACCACTCACTTCACCTCCCCAGCTCCATTGGTGCAAGACACAAAGTAGGGTTCTTTTCATATCTTTAGTTCAAACCTCACACATGACCGTTACTCTACTTTAATGCCAACACTTATATGGTATCATATTTGACAGCATAAACAGTGTTGCTAGATTACAGCTTCCTGCAAGCTACCATCCATCATCCAAGTCTAGTTTTGCCACATTGTCGTCTTTCGAGTCACCAACTTCTACAATGACTGACACAAGAAGTAGTGCACATGAAGAAAAGAATGAGCAAACTTTATCTCTTATACCATACAACCAGAAGTTTGATTCTAGTTCTGGTTTGAATGTTGATTCACTTTCACCTGGATGGAATATAAGCCCTTCATCAGTTCCCTCACAAAGCCTTTGTGGGTCTACTACTTTGAGAACCAAACAAGCTAAAGCTTTAGGCGAAGGAAAATTCATAATTAAGCCTGCTACTGATGAACCCAATTACAATCTTGCAGAGGAAACTCCTGATATCTTAAAAGATACCCATTCTCCTATTAACACAGTAAAGACTAGCTCGCCGAACCAGAAGCGCGTATCTCCACCAAAAACAGTGTTGCATGAGGCAGGATCAAGTTTCTCACCTGGCTTGAGGAGTGGCCGCAAATATGTCCTGCAATCTATTCCACAATTTCCATCTCTCACTCCTTACAGAAATAACATGGAAAATAAGGACAATTGAAAGCCCTTCAGAAGTGAAAACCTTCCAATGAGCTTATGTAGCTCATCTCGCCTGTGCTATATATCTAGTCGGGCAAAGTATTGTTGGTTTGGAGGTATCTCACTGCAAAAGCTAGCTCAATTAGTACCAGCTAATGAAGCTTTTAGCTGGGATTCTGGCTTCATTCAGGATGGTTGCTTGCTTATTTGCTTGTCTATATGGTTTCTAACTTTAATCTTCACTGATTTTTTTCTTCCAAATGGTGTATGAGAGGCACTATTGCATCACGGCTTTTTAAAGAATCTTCAGGGAAAGACTTTTACAGTTGAGTGTAAATAAAAACTTATAAGCAGCTCATTTATTTGTACATTTTTTTCAGCAGATGAATTCTTGATTCTCTGAACTTTTCTGGATAAATTTGAAATTTATTATGTTCTTTGATTTTTCTTGCTTTATATGGTGTACAGACATTGCTCACAATGCATCCAACCCGTCTAATTTATTCTCTACTATATATTCCAAGGGTTAATTCCTCTTGCTCCATTGCTCACCAGAAATTTCTTTTGAAGAGGATTCTTTCTGTAAGGCTAAGGCCTTGTTTGAGAAATAATTTTTTAGTATAATTTTTTTTAGAAAATTGTCTCAAATTAAGGCTTCTTTTGTAATTGTTTTTTCTTCTTCTTAAAGCAGCTTTCTAGTAATAATTACTAGAAAGCTGCTTTAAGAAGAAAAAAAAAAACCGTCCCAAATGAAGCTTAAGTCTTAATCGCCTTATATACTGAGTCTATGCTTTTAATAATGGTGCATTTTGAGTTTGTATTCTTTGAATGATGTAAAGCTCAATTATTTTTGTGAATGGAAGTTCTATCTGAAGAAATCATCAATTTAAGGTTGTGCACATTACAAGAGGCTTGTGGAATGAATGTTGAAAGATACAATGCGTATATTTAAATCTCTTAATGCTCACTGAAATGGTAATGTTCAATATCAGACTTGAGTTGATTAAGCCTTGGCTTGAGGTTAGCTCAAAGACATTTGATCATGTTCAAGTATTGGTTCAAAATAATTTTTTATTTTGTAAATGAGTCGAGCTAATCTCGAGTCACTCCTGGTTTGAGCTTGAATTTTATTCAAAGAATTCAAACCAACTCATGAGTTGACTCATGATTATGATTTAAGTAATCATTATAATAAAAATATTAAAAAATAAAAAATTATAAGAAAAATAATAGATAAACACTTAATATAAAAAATTGAGATATAATTTTTAAATATTTTTGTTGACCTGTATGCTATATCCAAAGGAAACAAAAAAAAGAGATATATATATATATATATATATATGAAAAAGCATAGAAACCTACTATGCTCATATGCAAAGCTGACATTTAACAAAATGATATTTCATGGCATCATATCAAACAATTTTATTTTAGAAACATATCAAACAAATAAAAAAATTAAAAACCTTCACAAAACAGTTCAAATAGCATCATAATTAAAGCTGTATAATACTGACCACAAGTGCTTCAACACAACAAAACCACCAACTTTTCCAGATAGGTAAGACAGTTCCCTCGATAAATGACTGCTCATATTCGAACGCAAATGAAATGATCATAAATATAGCTCCAGCTAGTCTGTTGCCACAACATCATAGCCAAAGATTATTGGTAAATCACCACAATATTGATTTGCGAATTACACGCCCTCAAGCTCCAAACTTGCTTTAAGCCAATCGCAAACATCGTTCATCTCCTCAGGGATAGTGTAGTGGGCAAGCCTGCAGTGGATTCAAATCGTTCAAAACAGAAAACACCGTGCTGAATCTGAAGAGAAATTATTTTGTGCAGACACTGGATGGTCCGGAGAGCAACTAGAACGTGCCACGTCATCCGGTACACAGCGGTCCCGAGCACCGACATCGAGCAAAAAAATGACGTGACGCGTTCTGATTGATCTCAAATGCCGTCTGGGATCCGCATAGAATAATTTTTCGAATCTTGAAGAGCTGAAAGGAAACATGTTACACTAGGATGCTTAATATACCTGTCGTAGCTTTTGAAAGTTAGATTCTGAAATCCATTTGACCTGAGAGCTTCAGCGGATCTCTCTCCATGCTTGTAAAGCACTACATCATCCCCTGCAAGAATTGTTTTTTGGTTATTATTATTGCCTTAAAGCTATATGCCCATATGATTTCTCAAAACAAGAGTAAGGCTGTGAGAAAGTTCATCGCTTATTTTACTCATTCAAAGGACTATAATTTTCATAGGGTGGTAGAGCTTTTTTCCACAAGAACCCTTATAGTTTTAAGGTTGGCAAGCAAATATCAGCGATCAGACGACAGATGGTCACATTCCACTTAGGTTTCATTTAGGACAACTTTCTTACTATTTTTTAAAGTAGTTTTTTAGTACAAAATTTTTAATTTTTTTATTACAAAATTACTTTAAGAAGTACTAAGAAAGCCGTCCCAAACGAAGCCTTAGACGGCCAGAGGAAAGATTAATGAACCAGTCCTCGAGTATTAACGACCAAAGTGGAGCACGTCAACGGCCTCTATTCATGACGGTTAGCCCCTTATTGGTCGTGATAGTTCCAAGAACTCTAGATCTCCAATCCAATATGATAAGAATGCTCCACTATATCACTAGTTGTTTGCATCAAAATTCATACCAAGACAATGAAGACATAGAACAATTCCCTAACATCTTCGCCTGCATAGGTGCCCATTTTCCCTAAAGAGCTGCATTCATGTCACACTCAATATGAGAGGACCCCCTTCTAGTTTGGGATTAGACTAAACTTAAATAACTCATTTGTTTAGCATTTGTCGTATGTCTCTATTCCTAATGTGATCCATGTGAGTTCCTAATAGATCAACCTAGAACTATTGTGCTTGCTTGACCTTAAAATGGTTTGTGCATGGTTCAAGCAAAACATACGAGACAATATCTACCAACATACCCTAGGCATTATTACTTTTGTTTAATTTAATGGCTCATCAAAATAGCCCCTTTGAATAATATGAGTTTAGTGTGGCTTATTTTGAGGCTAGATTCATAGCAATCCATAATTGTCACATTGATAGGCCTTATCAATCTACTAAGCTACATGCAATATGAAGCCATTATACCCCTTACCTACGTAAGTGAACACTAATCTAAGATAAGAATCATTAGGCTAACATTAAGATCCATGGAGTCACTTCTAATTAAATAAATATGAAATTCCTCTGAGTCTAAGTGCTATCATCTACTTAGGATTGATCAAGATCAAACGTTGGTCAAAATTGGCCATGCGAGACTTCCCTTCTGTAATTAATAATATAGCACTTAGACCCTAGCGGATTATCTAACCTCTAAAAGGTCTTTAGATTGATCTGCTAGAACCCAATCAATCCCTAAGTTGGCTCAAGTCTAATCCAGGCGGATACCAAAGTTCAATCAAGACTGAAAGTTTGAAACTACCTCTTCATATAGGTCCATTGGGGCTAATTAGGTCCTAATTGGACTTGGATTTTAATTGGACTTGAATAAAGTGTAATAGTTAGGGGTGTCAAAATAGATTAACGGGTCAGGGTGAGGGTCATGCTAGGGTCTTACCCGAAATTGACCGACTATGAATCCGGTTTACTCGAACCATACTCGATAATCCGTTTTGATTAATAAAATTTATAACTTATCAATTATAGAATTTAAGTTAACTGATAAAAAATCAGAAAAGCATACCAACAAGCAAAAAAAATTAAGTAGTCACTATTGGGTTAAAATCTAATGCATAGACCAACCTGAACCGAGTCATTAATTGACACTCTTAGTTATATGCCTATTGAGAGTTGATTTGGTCAATATGGGTTATAATTCAATCTAAACTCAAACTTGATCCTCTAAGATGCACATAAACTCATGGGATCTTATTAGTTTAAATTGACTCTTAGCATGGTCCCTAAGACTTAGTTGTCCATTGGGTAGGATTAAACCCCCTAGCATGGAGATAACCATAATTGGACCAAATCTTACCATGGGTCTTCAATTGATCATTGAGTGTAATTGACTTCCTCATGTAAAATGATCACTTAACCATTATCATTTAGGTTTAATTGACTCTCAACTAGGCTTGACCCAATTACATTCATATATATATAGATCGGAGGAGGGAGTTTGGCGGGCACATGTGAGTGAGGTAAGAATTTGATCTCTCTCTCTCTCTCTCTCCCCCCCATAGTTGCCTATCAAGTTCTAGCCAAAAACAAAGAATCTCATAGGGAGAAAGAAAACAGACATACCAGCATCCATCTATGAGAGAAAGAACCTGCTATGATCTACAAAGGGAACGATTCAGCTGAGATTCCAAGAAAATTTCTCTAATAGAGTGTGTTCTGCCTTTAGAAGAGGATTGGTGGAGGCTGATGGAAAATTGAAGGGCCGTTGTCGGGAATTTTTATTAGGTCCGGTGTCCTGACTTAGCTCTATGTTCGGACGCTAGTAAAATAGTGCCACGTGCTTTTTACTCTTTACCGCGCGGCCCGACGACCTGACCCGGACACGGACCAGATATTGCTATGTATTGGCTAATTTGTGCAGACTGGGATGTTGCTCGGTATTCCTCGGTAACGAGAAATACCACTCTGTCAAGACTAATACCTAGCAATACCGAGCAATACACGAACATAGCAATACCGGGTTCCGGTCCAGGTCGGGACGTCGGGCCGCGCGGTAAAGAGTAAGAGCGCGTGGCGACATGTTATTGGCCTCCGGACGTAGAGCTATGTCAGGACACCGGACCTAATAAAAATTCCGTTGTCGGAGGAGTATTGTTTCAAGTGAAGAATCTAGAAGCACGCCGGAGGAATTCAAATCCCGCCGCCGGCCACCCGTTCAACGTCGCACAGCACCCGTTGCCTACTTGCCTCAACCCGGTTAGATTACTATCTCATCTGAAATATTTTTTTTGCTGTGTATGGCTTAAGAAACAAAAACTTGATTTTGCCAAGCAGCTGAATCACCGGATTTGAAGCTTGCTCTAAGCTCTTGCCAAGCTTTAAAAACAGAAGCTTGCTCTTGCCAAGAAGGTTGAAGTTTGGTTTCAGAACCGCCGTGCAAGCAGGTTTGCTGATCTCTTGCATTTTGTCTATTATTTTTTTATTACATGAAATTTTATTCATGTAATTTTGTCTATTGTTTTTTTTTCTTTATAATATACTACAAAACATTATGTGAAGTTTGGTTGCCGTGCAAGCAGGTTGAAGGTTGAAGTTTTATTATTATACTTGAAGCAAGTTTTATCTTTTTTTTTATAATTGATATTTTTTTTTTCATTTAATTTAGCATGGATAGATATTTCAAAAGAAAAGATGTTGAAGATGACTACAAAACATTATGTGAAGAAGACAATACACAAAGCAAACATACCCGTGTAGAAATTAATTTTTTGGATATCCCCGCCGATCCAGGATTGAGGAAAAAAATTTTAGATTATCATCCTAACTAGAGGGATAGTATCAGGAGACATTATTTGTTAAAAGGACCGTATCAACTGCGTGATCATGAATTCCCGCGTACTCAATTTGGTGATAGATTTTGCAAATTTTCTTGAATCAGAGGATTCTGAGAATCAAGGGAATTTTCTTGAACTTCTGCGTTTTCTTGCAAATCACAATGAAAGCATAAATAAAGTTGTTTTAGATAATGCTCCTGGAAATAATAAACTAATAGCTTGGAGAACTTGCTCAGAAATTAGTTGAGACAAGAAAGCATGATATATTTCCTTTGGTGTTCTCACTTATAAAGCTTGCTCTGATTTTGCCAATTGCTACAGCAACAGTTGAACGGGCTTTTTCTGCAATGAAAATTATAAAGAATCATTTACGCAATCGCATGGGAGACTCCTGGATGAAAAAGGTTGAGGGTTTTTTTTTTAACTTCAATATTTTGTGCCCCCACATGTACAAAATCCTGGCTCCGCCCCTGGGTAGGAGGTTAGGGTTTAGTCGTTTAGAGTTTAGAGTTTAGCACAAATCAATCACCAAATGATGATGTTGAAAGATTATATATGAAGATATCCTACCAAAATATTGTGGGTAGTGTTATTTATGTTATTATTTGTGTAAGCCTGATTTAGTTTATTAACTTAGCATTACAACTAGTTTTATGCTTGATCCAAGGATGCATAACTGTAAAGCTGTAAAATAGGCTTGCTGAAAATTCCAACAGATAATAATGCATAAGCATGTTGACAAAAGCTTTAGCTACTGTAAAATTTTAACATTACTTGGAGTTGCTGAGGATGGTGAGAGAGAAATCATGATGTTGTTTGCTTGGATTTTGATGAATCAAATAATCAATGTGGAGATTTTTGTATTGGTCCTTTTATTTTTTTTATTTAGTTTTACTTGTAAGAGCAAGGGTATAATTTTAGCTGACACAATCACCTTACCCTTTTTGTAAAGACATTTCATATCATTTATTTCCTAGTGAATCTGTTCTCCTCTCCTCTCTGTTTTCTTTTCCCCTTGGCTATAAGGTTCTAGCCAAGAACCTTGTACAGGAAGATGATGTTTATCTTTGGTAGCAAGAACATACTGTGAAGGAGGCAATGCATCTATGTGTCGCTGGCTCACTACTATGAAGACCAGGAAGGAAAGATTCTACTGAGGCAAAGGAATCAAGTGGGCATTTCTTCCATAAGAAAGGGTGTTTTGCCTTTAAAGCGGACCATCGAAGGCTACTAGAAAAAACAATGGAAGGCATGCTATTTGAGAATTATTTTTGCAGGTGGAGAACTAACTTTTTTCAGTTAAATTCTTCAAAACAAATTTTATCTATAAAAATTAAATTCGTACATTTTCAACCGTTTGTTCTACATATCTAAACCAGTTAAGTGTACTTTCACCCACTTATATTCAACTAGATAATACTACCACCATCACTCTAATATAATTATTATTTAATTTATCCTTCTTAATTTTATCATGTGTCCACCTTAACATTATCATTTCTACTGTACTCAACATAACAATCAAGTTTTTTTTTTTTTTTTTTTTTACCTAGAAATTAGATCACATTATTTAATTTATCCTTCCTACGAAAACCTTTTCCCTAACTCTGTCTTTATTGGTGGCTTCCTTAATATCTTGGTTCACCGACACTCTCCCCTTACTCCTCTGTCAGGCGACTCTTAAGTTGTTCAGAATTGAATCTAGACAAGTAACCCAAGAGTTAACTCTAACTCAATCTTTAACACTGAGTTATTGAACTTACCCAACAAACTTACAAATCACCCATTAATTAATTCAAGTCGCATAAAAGAACTTGCTAACTTGTCGGAATATTTGCTAGCCAACTAGGAGTTATTTTAAGAACTCACCAAAGATGCCCACTCTTGATTCAAAACTCACTTAACATTATAAACAAGCAGCCAAATAAAAGTCAACTTTTGCATTCTCTATTAAATTGTACAATGTAGCCAATTCTGCAAAAACAACCTTGATCCCTGAGTCACTGATCAAGCAAGGGCATATCGAATTTTACAAGAAATCTCATACAAATGAGAGGCAATCTCTCCAAAATTCTCCACAAAACTCTCTTTGAATTGCTTCTTTGTAGCTCTTTTGGTCTCGCCTTTCTTTATTCAAGGTGGTTCGACCAGATTCCTAGTAAAACAATTATCTAAGACATTCATTAGGACCTATCCTCTCTCTCGCTCTTCCTTTTCACTCTTGGACTTGATTCATTTCTTTAATAAAATCTTGGTATCTTTGAATGAAAGCTTTTTATCCAATACTTTCATTTTTTTTGGCAACTTATATTATAACGCTCATCAAACAATAGCTGGTTTAACACTTGTTACTTCTTCAGGTTGTTTTTGATTGATAACAATTGGTAGTAGAATCATAATCAAAGAAAGACAAAGAACTATAAGAGCATGGACCACATTGTATGATGTTCATCACTATTTGACTGCTGATAAACTAAATACCTTTTCCATGGCAAAGAAATATAGGCAATGAGGCAGCACGTCTCACAGCTTCTTCTAATCCTTCTAACTTGTTCTTCAAGCTTCTACAAATCGAAGCAGTTATTTGAATTGGTTTAGAATAGTTTGATTATGAGCGAAAGCAAAAATGGCACTGCTAACTAAAAATGGTAGAATTAATATTTAGGATAGGTAGAGGGAACATACTTGGAACATGGAAGCCAACCACTTAATCCAACCACTGCACTTAGAATCACCGCATATGGATTTCCATTACCATATCTTCCATGAGCACTGCAAGTTGCGGAGTACAAAGCAGTTGCAGCACCCATGCTAAAGCCACCAACACCAAGTTTAACTGCAATGACCAATTAAGACAAATGATGTCACAACTAACGCTGAATGCATGCAGCAAGCAAATTAAAGAAAAGATTAGAGAGAGCAAAGGTGCTGGAATGTGAGAAAAATAATCAAATAATTATATTAAACGTGCTGATAAGATGCATTTGAAGAGAGATGATCGAGCAACATCTGCATCATCATCGTTTAGAAAGTCTTTTGGGGAATGTTTCACACGCCAGTCAATAGTTCTTTTCTTGTAAAAGAGAAGACAAGAGGAGGGGGCTTTCTTTATCATATTGGCGTTTTCAATAGAGATGCTTCTAGGCATACGGCTAACTGGAGATATTAAGAAAGCCGTTCCCGTGTTTGAAGGAAACCCAAATCATTTCTAATAAATATTTTGACTAAGAAATTAGATACCGTAGCCCCAGTTATTTCTCTTATTGGATCATTAAGCTCAATTTTGTACTGTATTGGGTCATGCTATTAGTAGACCGACTTGGACCGATTCTTATATTCTTGATCAATTTTGTCGGATATGTAGAAATATTTGTCGTTATCACAGCGGATCCTCAAAGAAACAAGTTTTGTATCATATGAAGTATATACTTTAAATTTATCTTTCGTGTGCTAGAACTTTGGCTCGTTTGAGATAAATATATAATTCAAAAATTATTTTAAACAACAATCTATATTATTTTAGGTCCACCCCTGTCCCTTCTTGCTTTCCAAACACTAATTCTATCTACATGTTTAAGGGTGTATTTTTTACCCTTTGTTGCAACCAAAAAAAAAAAACTATTTTCAATTAACTTATCTTCAATAAACATAAATCCAATCATTTGTCTAATATAATTATTTCTTATTTATACTTGTTTTTTGACATCTTAGCATTCTTCTAGTGCTTCATTAAAAGTCATTTTCAAACAAAAGTTCTCTTGGACTACTTGAAAATGGAGAACTAGTGCCTCTCTTATTGCAGTTGAGTTGGGCTGATCTGATGATCACATGAATGATAAAACTTTATAAATAAAGTGGTAGTACCAAATCAAACTTAAATCAATGTTTAAATTTTGGTAATCATATAGAGAACATGGAATATAAGCCTAAATTATCTTGTAACATACTATTTGTGGGTTCAGTTGACAGAAGTTTTGCTACATGAGCAGCTGAAGAATCAATGCCCTCAACATCATCTGGGCCATCCTCTGACAAATCCCCCACATCAAACCCTACAGACATGCCAAATGTGAAGAAAAGTAGTTGATTGAAACAAAAAAAGAATAAAAAAGGACATAATATAAAGTGCTACAGTGTAATACAAAAGAACTTGAGCAGGAAAATTGTAGTCACAAAAGCAAGCTTACATGCAGTTGAAGGAAATCCACCAAAAATTGATACAGGTCTAACAGGGGCAGTTGGACATATCCATTTTATCTGCATTAAGTTAAATAAATATCAAAAGTCATTGTGACAAGCTAACATTTGGAAAACTAGAAATATGTTCATAATCATTAGCCACATGTAGTAATTATAGGAAAGAGATGGCTAGGAAATGTTTCTTGTACAATCATACACAGTGTGGTAGATTTGCAGGAAAATAAAGCCAGTGCTTACATTTGGTAAAGGAAGGGTTTCCAAGATCTGGGACCAGCTGAAAGACAAGAAAGAAAAAAGTCAACCACTCTAAAACACATGCCCAAACTTTTCAACATAATTCAACACAAGGAGAACAAACAAGTAGTTCAATAGATTTCCTTGCTTAGAAGATGTATGTATAAGTTAGCAAAGAAGATAGATAAGAGAAGTAAAGATTTAGTTTAAATATAGTGCATTAAAGATGAAGATAAAAAAATATTTTTCTTAGAAGATGATATTCAACATAGATGGATGAGATATTTCAATAATTTTTTCAATGAAGGTTGTAAGAATAAGATTGACCTTAGCACCTTAAATAAAAATATGAATTTTTATTTTTATCATCATATTTGTAAAACTGAAGTTGGAGAAGCTTTAAAAAAAATGAAATGTCAAAAAGTGTAATGACCTGATGATATTCTAATAGAAGTGTGGAAAAGCTTAGGAGATCAAGAAATTTCTTGGCTTACTGAACTCTTTAATATTATTTTGAAAATTAAAAAGAAGTCAAATGAGTGGAGAACGAAAGTGTTTATTACTATTTTTAAGAATAAAGATGATACATAAGAGTGTGCAAATTATAGAAGAAATTAAGTTAATGTGTTATACATTAAAATTATGGGAGAATAATTGAGTATAGGTTATGACATGATATTAATGTTTCTCAAAATCAATTTGGAATCATGTCCAGAAGGTTTACTATGGAAGCTATACATTTGTTGAGAAGTTTGATGGAGAAGTAGAGAAAGGAGCATCAGCATATGATAAAGTTTCAAGAGAAGTGCTCTAGAGAGTTCTAGAAAAGAAAGGTGTTAATAATGTTTACATTCAAGTCATTAAGGATTTGTACACAAGCTATTACTTGTGTTGAAGCACAAGATGGTTTGACCTTTTTTTTTTTTTTTTAATTTCAGTTGGTTTGCATCAAGGATCAACTTTATTCCCTTATCTTTTTGCTTTAGTCATGGATATTTTTAGTAGACATTTGCAAGAGGATGTACCCTAGAATATGTTTTTTTTTCTGATGATATTCTTAATATTGATAAGATTAGAAAGGAATTTGAAATGAAAACTTGAATTATGGATGTCAGCTTTAGAGTCTAAAGATTTCGTTTGAGTATATCTAAAATGAAATACATTGAGTTTAATTTTAGTAGTAATAGATCTATAGGTGGGAATGCGACATTGGGTGATCAAGTAATTAAAAGAGTGCACATTTTAGATATCTTGGGTCGCTTGTTCAAAATGAGGGTTAAATAGATGAGAATATTACTAGTAGAATTAAAGTTTTTATGTGGATGAATGCAACAAGCCTGTTGCGTAATAGAAAAGTACCCGTCAAAGTTAAGAAAAAAAATTATAATATGGTGGTGAGACCTGCAATGCTTTATGGGGTAGAATATTGACCATTAAAAGAGAAGCATAAAATTAAGTTAAGGGTTGCTAAGATAATGATGCACGGGTAGATGAGTGGCTTTATGCTTAGAAACATAATGTGAAACTAGTATATAGGTGAAAAGGTTGGAGTGGCTCTAGTGGCAGGTAAGATTAGAGAGTCGTCTTAAATGGTTTGGTCAAATAAAATGTTGGCCTTCTGATGACCCTATTAGCATAGTAGATGTATTAGATCCGGCATACGTTAAGAAAGGTAGAGATAGACCTAAAAAAACTTCATAATAAAGTATTAAAATGAACTTTATTATTAGATTTAAATAAGAATTTGACTCTTAATAGTGCACAATGGAGAAAATGGATTCATGTAGCCAACCCCACATAGTGGTATAAAGGTGATAGGGACATCAGCAGCGATTTCGACACATGTATTTCCAGGAGATGCCGGAGATCGACGGCCACGATCATGATCTGTATTTTCATCATTTTATGTAGTAGTTTATTTTTATTTTATGTTTTTCCGTTTTTGCCCTCATGGGTATTTGGTAGCTATTGTAACCCAAGGGGCATTTTAGTCTTTTGCTTCTTTGTCATTTTGAGGCCTATTTATAAGGCCCTTTTTCTCATGTAATAGTTAGTTTTTTATGAATGAAAATTTGCCACTTCATGTTCTCTTTGTGAGTGCAAACCTCCATGATCTCTTAGTGAGTTCATAGGAGAAGCTAGATCTCTTTGTGAGTTCTAGGTTCTTTCTTGCTCTATTATTTTCTTTCATTGCTCTTGATCTCATCGTCGTTGTGTGGATTTGGGTTGGAGCCTCTTGGAGGAAGTTGGAATTTCAATTTTGGATCCCTAAAATTCTCCCCACAACCTCCCCTCCCCTGCTCTTGCCACCGCCCCCTCCCTGGAGTACTCAGGCCGCCGGCCTGCAACTCAACCGCCGGCCAGCGTCCTTCTTCCTCGGAGTGACCTCGGTTATAATGTGAAGACGCTTCTTCCGCTAAAGCCTAGATTAGTTGAGCGTATGGGCTCCAAAGGTGAAAGTTCTTATTATTAAATTGCGGATTCTTGTTTACCGTCGTAGTGTTACAATTGATCTTTGTGTTTTCTTAAATTGTTTGGTTAACCGACCTCGCTCTTCTTTGCCTAAGCAAGTTAAAACTAAGAATTCTAAGGATCAAACCAATGTTATAAGCAATAAATTTACTTTGTATTATTTTGTTAAAATTGCTCTCTTTAATTTCTTAAAGTAACTCCATCGCATGTACGTTTCACATCAAAAGGCTTCTTGTTATTATTGTTGTTTGTGTTTGAGCAACCGGTGCATAGCTTTCAAACTACCAAGCCGGTGCATAGCTTTCAAACTATCAAGGTTCTTCACAAGTTTTTTTTTTACATGGCACAAGTGGTGGAAGATAAATGTTAGTAAAAATGTTCAAGTTTTAATCTCATAATTTATAGTAGATGCCTACTTTAAGAATACAATACATGAAAGTAGAATAAAACCATGTGTCCATAAGACGAATGTTAAAGTCAGGTGGTGAATGACTTAATTTGATAACAAGGGACCTAAAGTTCTCGCATTTGTCATTAACCACATTATTTGAAGAGAGCTACAATTCCTTTCCTGGCTTACAAAAGCAAATACGATTCAAGGATAAAAGACATTGCAAACTTTGATAATATATTAGATTGTACATGCAAATACAAAAATATATCAGAAGCAAATCAATCAAAAAGAAACTAGAGTTCAATAATCAGAGTTAATACAAGAAGAATGCCAAGCCTGAAATTCTCATATATAAATTGCATATAGATGTAAATAGTTAGCTCAAAACTGTTATATTCAACTCAAAATTGCACGTTTAAGCTCAGGTTGAAGAAGATGAATAACACAGCAATCAGCATTGCTGCCTTGTGTTGTGTTGCAGTGTGTGAGCTTCAAGTGGAGCAAACTGTTTGTTAAAGCTTAAAACCATACTAAGATTGTTGTCTAAACTCTGAAGTGCCCCAAATATTACTTGTTCATTTAAAAAGCGTGGCAGTTATAGGAGTTGATTGAATGACTTACATAAATATTTTTGTGAATTTCATATAATTATAACATAATATCCTAAACTTAATTAAATATAAGCAGTTAAAATATCCACTTTATTAATTAATTAGATAAGAAAGGTAAAACTCCAGAAGTGCTTTCCTGTGAAGCTACTTAAATTTTTTTTCTCATGTATAAGCAGTTTAGATAAGTTATAAGAAAGCTGCTCTTTAGCTTTCACACAGCTGAATTTTTTTTTCCAAACATCCTGAAACTACTTATGTTGTTCAAAGAAGCAGAAGATGACAAGATAAAGGCATAAAGGTATGCCAAAAATAGGCTAAAAACATGATAAGCAGGCACATAAAAAGGAGCAATTGATAATTAACCATTAAAAGCAATGATAGAACCTTATAAAACAAGAAAAACAACATGATCTTATATCCAAGCATAAAAAATGCTTTACCTTGCATTTAGTGGGTTCAACACTCTAAGCATGTTAATAGAAAAAAAAAATTTCTAAAAGACAACGTGATACCCATTTAGGCTTTGTTTGGGACGGCTTTCTTATTTCTTTTTAAAGCAACTTTTTAATACAAAATTTTAAATTTTGTTACAAGAAAGATGCTTTAAGAAGCAGTAACAAAGCCGTCCCAAATAAGCCTTAGATCACCATTATTTAACAGAAATCATGCATAAAGCCAAAGTAAATCATACTGAGATATGTACACTTGCATTATAAAAAAAACTTTGATATTCCTGTCATATAATTCTTAGAACACTGGAAAAATATGCCTAGGAAAACTAAAGAAAAATATGTTACATTTGGATTAAACACGGTACAATTAAAAAAACGTTATAAAATCTAAATGTAAGGAAATGAACGCAATAACATCTTATCAGTAACCATCGAAGAGCAACTACTCTTAAACGACAGAGAAAAATTTCACCAAAAGCCAGATAAAACGGACCAAAATCTCCCCAGAGAAAGAAATGGCATGCGATAAACAGTATTATAATTTCATAAAAATGCTAGGTAATCACAAAAAACATGACAGTAATGTCAGGAAGAGAAACATAAATGGTAGATCTTTACCTCGCACCATTATCCCCTAGACCATGAAGCCAAACAATTGTGGCTTGATGCTTTCCCTTTGGCCTGACCACATGAGTTCTCCCAAACTCAACAGCCCCGCCACCGGCCTTGGAACCTGCATTCAACCACTTGAACGTAATAAATCACCGAAACTAAAATATACAAACAAATCAAACCCGTAAGAACACAAAACCATTGGATAGTGAGAGCAAGAAAGGCAAAAAAACTAACCAGATACAACAGAACTGCTTTTATGACTCATATTGACAGCACTAAGAGCGCAACGCTCCCTGCAAAGAAGCACGGGTCAAAATGATCGCCAATCTAAACGTATCCATATCATTTGAAATGAAATATGAATAAAAAACTCATGAATCCGAATCACCAGTGTCGGGAACTAGGGTAAGAGAAGGGCACAACCTAACGAGCAAGGTAAGGTTTGGAGAAAATTTCCCAATCTTTATCATTCGTTCAAAAAACACAATCTACAAGCACAACACAGACAATAGTACATGCGCCATTCAGACAAGATTGAAATGCTTGCAGATGGGAAGAAAGCAGACTCATTTTTTTTCTTTCATTTTCTGAACAGGAATGATTGCCTGTCGGAAATTGGGGATGGCGAAAAATATCAACAGCTACCCGAGAATGGTAAATCCACGATTAATGCCCCCAAAAAAGAATTTTTTAATTAAAATCATAAAAGAGAGAACTTCCTATTTCTTTGGGCGATGGAAAACGAAAAAAAAAAATAAAAATTCATTTGCTGTTGTTGTACAAACTACAAACCTGGAATCGGACTGTAAGGGGAGAAAAAGGTGAATTATTTGCTTTCTTTCTTTTAGAGCATTCAATAAAATTTTCTTCTTGTTCTGCGGAACTCTTCCAATATCGCAGTTAAATTGTGCGGTGGTGTGATGATGCGTCCAGGTCAAGGTACGTATGTATTTTGGGGAAGAACGAATATTCATTATATGATGGTTGAAATTTTGGTATAAATTTCTCCCAAAAAAAAAAATTTTTTTTAGTCCACTGCCAACAGAAATTCCTTCGGAACTGTCCAAAAATTTCTGCCTATATAAAAAATGTTAGTTTGATCTTTTTTTTTTTCTCCCTAAATATTAGTCATTTCGTGTCAGATCATTTAGGAGTCTAGTTAAAAATATTAAAATAAAACTCTCAAATAATCATATATCATTTTGATTCTTTAAAGAGCTTATTTGTTCTTAGGTATATTATTCAAATTATTTTTCAAAATTCTTTTTTTAAATTTAACTTTAATAGAAAAATAAAAATAATATTTTTATATGATTATTACACCAATTCTAAAACCTTTTTTTTTTTTTGAGTCCACTGCCAATAGAAATCCCTTCGGAATTGTCCAAAAATTTCTGCCGATATAAAAAATGTTAGTTTGATGTTTTTTTTTTCTCCCTAAATATTAGTCCTTTCGTGTCAGATTATTTAGGAGTCCATTTAAAAATAGAGATTTTTACATACATATCACTTTATTTGTTACATATTACATATTTAACACCTAATTCTTAAATATTACATTAATATCACATAAATACTATTCTCATAACAAATGTACCACTCCGTCAAATGCTTTCCTCACACCGTTTTTTTTTCTCCTTCCCGCCTGTGATTTTCGCGGGAGAACAGAGGTTTCAGCGAACCTCGTTAACAAATAAAAATTTCATTAACCGTTCGACCGTGTGTTCCGACCTCATTAATTCGAGTCTTTGAACCGGGTCATGACATTCCTCCAAGTTAGCATAATCCTATAAAACAAGTATCTAAAATAAGGCCCGTCTTATATATATGAAAGCTTGCATATGACACCATCAAGCATTATTATTAGACAAATCAATCATATGATCCCTTTTTATATATGATTTTATTTTCTTTGGCTTAAATGTCTCAAAATATTGATTGGAGAATGGTTCTAATGGTGTCCTTGAGAGTTAAAAGGCCTGGAAGCATTAAGGGGATGTGTGAAGATCTGATGCAGTGTCTTTGATTTGGATCCAAAGAATTTGGAGTATAGTGGAAGGAGAGAGCCAAAGTAGGCCAATAATACCTTATTTTTAGTTAAACACTTACAAGAGGCTTAAGTAATTTTTTTTCTTGCTATAGAAAGAAAGTAATCTCTCTCTCTGTATAAGATAATGGACATAAAACAAAATAGTTCAGTATAAAGTATATTAGAACAAATTTTGAATATGTTATAATGGTAAAGTGATCATTGAAGTTTCAAAATAATTGTCATATATGAAAAAAATAAGTGTTGTGTTCAATACTTCAATGACATCATTTATAAAATTTATCCTTTTTTTTTATTTTATTTTTATGTCAGCTATGAAGATTTATATTATAATTATGAATTATGAATCACTTTTTTTTAGGGGTACAACATCTCAATGAATGAAAAATAATGTCCTCGGGTGCTATTTTTTATTAAAAAATATTCATAATATGTTATCAAAAAATTATCTTGATCGAGCACGAATCTCGAGACAATATCAAGTTGGAAACTTCAAAAATTAAATATGGGATTATCTGAACTCCGAGTTCAGCAAGCTTATAGTCGAATTGATAGTCTCGAAAATACGAACCCAACGACACCAAATTCAACTCAATCTGAGCCCAAATGGGTATGAATCAAAGACCCGAAATGTTGTTTGAAGATTCAAACCACAATTTTGATTACCAAAAGGTTTTCAAACATGATATGCTTGTATTCGAATCGAGAGGCTCGACGAGACAAATCCAACGAGCCTAAGATCGTCGAATTATGATATTGTTAAGACCTTCAAATGTCTGACAAACGATCCACGATCAAGGGATTCAATATCGTCCGTCCATCTGAACCACTCCACATTTGCCTTTGATCCTCCTCCTATTTATGGGACATGACATTCTCAAAAAATTATAAATAGCCAATCATTTCTCTTGAGATGGGGACCCAAAAAAGAAGATGAAAAGAGAAGAAGAATGGGAGGGAAGAAACTACTCCTCAACCACCGCCGGAATTCCGCCCGACCTTCAAGTGACGCCGGAATTCCGCCTGACCTTCAAGTAACGCTGGAGTTTCTCTCGAACTCCAAGTGACGCCGGAATTTCACCCAACCTCCAGGTGACACCGGAGTTTCACTCGAACTCCAAGTGACGCCGGAGGTCTGCCCGAATACCATCTAATTCCAGAGTTCTCCTCGGATACTAACTGATGTCAGACTTCTACCCGACGCCGGACCTCCGCTCGTCGCCAAGTTTCTACCCGACTCCGGACTTTTTGTCAATTATTGAACTTTCTCTGGACATCTACATGATGCTGGATTTCTACCTAATGGCCCTTCTGACCTCCATCGCCTGTCGAATACGGTCCTTCTGACTTACGTCGCCCACCAACTACAGTCCTTTCGACCTCCGTCACTCGCCAACTACGATCCTTCTGGCTTACGTCGCCCACCGACTACAATCCTTCTAACCTCCGTCACCCGCCGACTACGGTCCTTCTGACTTATGTTGCTCACAGACTACAGTCATTCGAATGATCGAATCTCTATCACCCACCAACTACGGTCCTTTTGACTTTCGTCGACCATCGACTATAGTCCTTATGAGCTCCGTCGCCCGCCGACTACGGTCCTTCTTGCTTTCGTCACCCAACGACTACAGTCCTTCCGACTTTCGTCGTCCGCCGATTACGATCCTTCTAGCTTACGTCGCCCACCGACTACAGTCCTTCTAAACTCCGTCGCTCGCTGACTACGATCCTTCTAACTTACGCCGCCCACCGACTACAGTCCTTCCAACCTCCGTCGCCCGCTGACTACTATCCTTCCGTCTTACGTGGCCCACCGACTATAGTCCTTCCGACCTCCGTCGCCCGCCGGCTACGGTCATTCCAACTTACATCGCCCACTGACTACAATCCTACAGACCAAACAAACACATCAGCAGTGATTCTTTGTATTCTCATAATGCAGTGTACTCTATAAGACTTATACTATTAACTGCATACTAATAATAAATATATATTTTTTATAGAAGAAGCTTTAATAATAATTATTGTTGTAGTCTTTATTAGGCTGCAACTTTAGTCATTAATTTTTTAAATATTTAAATTTAATAAAAATAATAATTATTTTAAAAAATCCTAAAAGTTGAATCTCCTCAAATTCAAACTTGAGCTAGTTTGGCAGACGAGCTCAACTGGCAGCTCGATGAGCACGAGCTTGCGGCTCTCGTTATGGAGTCAAGAGTTTGAGCCGATTTAGGCTCGCTTACATCCCCAAACCAGCCCTATAAAGCCAGTTAAATTTCCCTTTTTTAATTCCCGCTCGAGTCTGCTGGACGCCCTAGTAGCAGGCACAGGGGCACGGAGAAAAAACCCACCATGGCATCGCCGGCGAGCAACGGCGTTCCTGCTGTCAAGGGGTCCTTCGACAAAAGTGTCGACTTTGCTAACTACTTCTGTACCTATGCTTTCATCTACCACCAGAAGGAGATGCTCTCTGATCGCGTCCGCATGGATGCCTACTATAATGCCATCTTCAACAACAAGCACCATTTTGCCGGAAAGGTTCCTTCTTTTTCCCTCTCCTCCACTAGGGTTTGTTTTAATGGAAATGAATTTTATCGTATTTGGTGGCTTCTGTCTTGATTTCATGAGAAAAGTAACTGAGCACTTACATAAACCCTAAAACCTGTTGGAAAAGGTTGTATTGGACGTGGGCACGGGAAGCGGAATTCTTGCGATATGGAGCGCGCAAGCCGGTGCCAGAAAAGTTTACGCCGTTGAGGCAACGAAGATGGCTGAGCATGCTAAGGCTCTTGTCCACGCCAATAACGTGGAGGATACTGTTCAGGTGATTGAGGGGTCTATGGAGGAGATTAGTTTACCTGAGAAAGGTTAGGTCTTGGCTCTTATCTTAGTAACTTAATGTTGTTATTGAATCTTAATTTTATTGAAAAATTTGTTTGCTTCTGTTTTGTCTACAGTTGATGTCATAATATCAGAGTGGATGGGTTATTTTCTTTTGAGAGAGTCGATGTTCGATTCTGTGATATGCGCACGAGATAGGTGGCTAAAACCATCTGGAGTGATGTAAGTTGCTGTGCCTTTCCATGAAATCCCTCTGCTATTTTATGCAAATTTCTCTTGCATGAGAACTTTGTTTTTTTATTTATCGTGGCTTTTTTATGGCTTATGCATATGGTGCATGGTTTAGGATATGTATGCCGTGAGTCTTGTAATAAGGGTTTAGGGTTTAGCACTTATTGAAGCCATTACCCTATATTTGTAATAGCTGTAGAATTTATCTAAGCTAGGTGATTTTAGCAATTATAGAAGCCATCACTCTATATTCAACCTAAACACTTGATCTTGCAGCTATTTTTTGTTAGATACTTTTTTGTGATATTAGGTTCTTTCCAAGGAAGATACTATATACTATTAGTAACTTTCTTGTGTCTTGGCATATTGCCTAATTTGTATTAGAATATCTTATCATCTAGAAAGTGATATTGCCTAGTTTCTTTCACATAATACATTATTCTTTTGATAAGGGTTGCATGTGGAGCTCTGTGAGTTCATGCATAAATTGTGAGGCTTGATTTACTACGAAGGCAATTTCTGGTGGTAATGGTGAGCTGCTTAAGACTCCCACTATACTATAAAATATGCTTGGGTACTTCATTGATTTTGCATCACTAGTCTTAACTTTTGATTGTAAGCGATTGGTATAGATGGAGGATTGCAATCCTACATTTTGAATTTAAAAAGATATAGAGCATAGTTTGTCGTCATATTTTTAGTTTGTGCTAACCCTTACAACAACAACAACAAACTTTTATCCCACTACATGGGGTCGGTCGGCTATATGAATCATTTTTCTGCATTGAGTCGTGTTAAGAGTCAAATTCTCATTTAAATCTAATAAAAAAAGCTAACCCTAGTCAAGTTATGTTTCAAGAAAGTAAAGTTATGTTTCAAGAAAGTACCTCAAGTTTCTCAAATATTTGATTTTAAATATCATGTTGTAGATGTTTGATGCTACTTGTCATTTCTTTGCAAATTAAGAAACAATGATGCCATTAACATAAGAATCAACGATTATGATTTATTGCATTTTGTAAATGAAAAGAGAAATAATTTGATTTTGTTTGTTTAAAATCAAGACCTTCTATAGCTTCTTGAAAACTAAAAAATCATGTTTAAGAAGCTTGCTTTAATCTATATATTGAAATTTTCAACTCGTAGACATATCTTATTTGATCATCTTCATGAAATCTATTTTTTTATTCCATGTCAGCACCCTCTTTGAGTTCTCCTTGAAGAAATGCATTTATGACCTCAAGTTGATTAAACAACCAATCTTGTGGAATAATAGAAAAAATAATTCATAATATAGCAATATTTACCATTCGGTTGAGGTCTCATCTTAATCTGATCCATGTTGTTGAGTGTATCCATTTGCAACACGCCCAGCTTGGAATATCCCAATTTTCCCATCTACTTAATGCTTTATCTTGTAAACCCATTTGCATCAGCACGATTTTGATTTTTGGGTCTCTAAAAGACTTCCCATGCTTTATTTTCTTTCATTTTAGCAATCTTTTTATACATGAACCATTTTCTGTTATAGGTTGCTTGCTCATGCGGTGGGTTTCTATATGTCATCTTCGTCAAGATGGTTTACAGTGACATTAAAACTTTCATAATTATGCACCTCACAATAGTTTCTTATGATTGTTGTTTTCATATCCATAAATAATTTATTGATTTTATGCTTCACTTTTGTCATGAAGAGTCTCTTGTCCTTCTTTTGTTTCTGAGATTTCCTCTATGGCTTTAAAAGACCATAAGTTTTTCTTCAGTCATTGATCATTCACCTTCTTCCTTTGTAGCTGGAATTGTAATCTACCCCTTGTTTCTATGGGTGTATTAGACAATCTAATTTTGATGAATATCAATTCTCGTCTTGATGACCGTTGGGAGTCCCTTTTTGAAGAGGGATTATTTGAAGTAGTGTTGTGGATATGATACTGCTCTTTTGCTTATGAATCCCAATTTCTTTATAAATATAGTTAATAATATTTCCTACTTTCATAAAAAATATTTAATATTTTCATAAAAAAATATGTTTGGATATCAAAACTTTTTTACTTTGTTTATCAAAACAACTATAGCCCTTGTAGCTTTCTTCATTGCTAATGAAAATGCATTTTTAGATTTAGAATCGAATTTTATTCTTTGATTTTCTTGTGTAAAACATATGCATCAGAACCGAAGAGATGTATCATTATGTAGGATGATCTTTTAAATAAATACTCTAAAGAGTGTAAAATGTTTCAGGACATGTGAGTGTAATCATTGGTGATATAAATAGTAGCAAGGAAGTAGGGGTGTAAGTGAGCCGAGCCGGCTCGAGCTCGACTCAATAACGAGTTCGCGAGCCGAGCTTATCGAGCCACGAGCTCGATTAAACGAGCTCGAGCTCAAGCTTGACGAGACTCGGCTCGTGAGCTCGCGAGTCGGCTCGAAATAATTAAATTAAATATTTTAAAAAATTATTGATAATCTCAACTGCCCATTATTTTAAATTCTAGCTCATTTCAAATCTCAATCGCATATAGCCTCTCTCTTTCTGTGGCAAGCCCGGTCTTTCTTCTCTGACAAAGCCCGGCAAATAATAAATGTTAACATCAAAACCAAAAAATATGCTCTCTTCTTCCTCCCGCTAACAGCAAACCCAAAAAATCTTTTTAATACTCTCTCTCTCCCTCTCTCCCGCTGACATCAAACCCAAAAAAAAAGTACTCAATACTCTTTTTTCCCGCTAACAGCAAACCCAAAACTCCCCAGAAAATTTTTTTTAGAACAGCGCGGGAGGCTCGACGAGCAGTTGAACTTGTTTACGGTGAAACGAGTCGAGCTCGATTTTTGAGCTCGACTCGAGTTCGAGCTCGATTTTTGAGCTCGACTAGAGTTCGAGCTCGAGCTCGGTGGTTGACAGTTGAGCTCGACTCGAGCACCCCCTGACTCGAGCTCGACTCGACTCGTTTGCACCCCTACAAGGAAGGCATCCGTATAAAGGTATAAAGGAACTTTGGGATCATAAATATGATCTATCCAACTTAATTGATATGCCTATGTTTCCTCTCAACAATTCCATTTGTTGTTAGGTGTATGGACAAGACTTTTGATGTGAAAGGCTATTACCAAGAAGAAAAAATTTCAACATATTAACTTGTGTGGTTCTATCTCTAGTGATTATTATTGCATTTCCATTATAAGAGAATAACTTGGAGAATTTACTTGGATTAGTTGCCACATGATTAGCATCATTGGAGTTGAGAACCCATGAAGCCTTCATTGGGTGTGAGAGTTTCATTACATGCCTTCCATCATCATATCCCATGAGCTTTTGTAAAAATAAAAAAATAAAAAATAAAGAGGCTCTATAAGATTATACAGTAAATCAGAGTTAGGAGAGAGTATAATGATATATGACATATAGTTCTATGAAGAAACACCACTAAGAATTTGCTACCTTGTAAATAGTCGACTTTAACAAAAGTAGAAGTTGTAATCTTGCCATTAGAAGACTGCCATTGTAGATAGTAAACTAAAAACAGGAAAAAAAGGAGGAAATATGTACATTAATCAATAATAAATATACTATTCTATTTCTTGGTTTGATTTAGGGTACAAACATTCATATCTATACTACCTTATCATACTATGAATATGATCTATATATGTACACTAAACAATAATAAATGTGATGAATATACATGAGATTTATGCATTGAACCTAATATTAATGAGAATTATTCCAGATTCAAATTGTAATGAATGTTGATATTCTCAGGATCTCTAGAATCTTTTATTTTATTTTATTTTTGATTTGTAAACTTGGTTTTACACTTAAGTAGAATGAATATTGATGTGTTTGTGCCAAATTAAGTTTAATACTTTACCCTAAGCTATGCAAAATAAATATAACCAAGTTGATTGTAAGTGTGTATTTTGCAGAACTTTGCTACCAACCCAAACAACCTCTAAATGAGAGCAAATAGATAGATTAGCATTGCATATTGCTGTAGTTTTGTAGAATTAGACTTTGGATAAACATGTTACATCTAGCCGCCCTCCCATTAGGATATTTGTTCTGCTTGCAAGAAATGAAACATATGATGTGGCGGAGATACGGGCTAGTGGGAGACAGGTGGGGAGATGATGCAAACCTGGCTCTTATATCAAATTGATGCAAGCTAAATCTTTGATACCAAATTGATACAATACAAAGTTCTTAACCAAGTAGGAGAACACTAGGTATGCAAACTAAGACACTTCCTAGTGATCCACTAAAGAAATTATGATCCAACACAGGCCAATGCTCTTTCGGCAAATATCAATAGAACATGACACAACACACCTTACATCTCACAATATGGCGAAGAAAGATACATGTGGAAAGAAACCGTGGAGAGAAGAAGTATTCTATAAAACCGAGAAAAAGAAATAAATGTAGGAAGAAGATAGCTCTTAAGCTAGGAAGAAACCATTCGTTTGAGTTTGTTTTCGCCAATGACAACCTTCTCCGGCAGCAAATCTGCCATATTATATAGGAGGAGGAGGAAATGACCATAAATTGCTCACTTAAATGTGCCACCTAATCAGCCAATAGAAGCCCTTCAAGACAACCCATTTAATGAGACATCAGGGAAATCGAGGATCAACATGCATGTAAACCAAGAGTCAGCAGGGAAAACCGTGAGCCAGTAGGCAGGGAAATTGAAATCCAGCAGGGAAAGCCGTGAGCCAGCTGGGAACATGACGAGACACAGGAAATAGAACTTCTTTGGGCAATCTGATAATTAAGGCAGATTGAGATCATAATTGGGCGCTGCAGATGAGTTAGTCTAGCAATGATTATTTCTAACTGTTAGCATGCATTCTTTTTTCGCTAATGTTACAACATGTATGCATTCAATTAAACTAACATTTATTGCATAGCTGCAAACAACAATTTCCAACGAATTGAGCTAATGACAATGAAAAGAAATAAAAAAGGGCATTGCCCGGAAGCTTGGTCCCAAGAAAATTCCGCCCAACTCCTGAAGTATAACGTGGATCTAGAGAAAGCACATGCTATTGAGATACTTAAATGATTAAATACTATTGATTGACGGAGCTATTTTCAATTTGTCATTTCTTAAAAATTACTTGATGATAGATTCTTATTGAACTTGTATTTTTTTGCCAAGCTCTTACAAATGTTGATCACTATGAGAGACTATTGTATTCCATTCCTTTTTGTAGGTATCCTAGTCATGCTAGGATGTGGGTAGCACCGGTCAGATCTGGTTTAGGGGATCAGAAGATGAATGATTACGAAACTGCTATGAGCGACTGGTATAGCTTTGTTAATGACACAGAAATAAACTATGGAGTCAATATGAATGCCCTATCCCAGGCTTATCGTGAAGAGCATGAAAAATACTATCTGAAGGTGCTAACTGTCATTCTCTTCTTGCTTCATGCAGTCATATTCTAATGCAATGCTATGGTCATTTTATTTCCATGCAGTTTGTTCCATACAACACAATGTGGTTCTTGTGTATATAATGTAGATAAGATGATTTAAGCGTCACTTTTTATTTGCTGTGAACATTTGAAAATTTATGCTATAGTGAGAGAGTCAACAAGTAGGTATTGGTGTTGTGATATTCTGTCATGAATCATATTATAAATTAGGGGCATATGTATAATACTGCATAGTTTTCATGAAGAAGAAGAAAAAAAAAAAACTTTCAACCATAATTTATTTCCTTCTCTTTTTTTTTTTTTTTGGATTCTCTGAAATGTAATATATGCCCAATACTTAAAAAGATGCTAAGAGGTCATTTTTTTACTTTTTGCTGTAGGTCTGAAAGATTCTTTTGATGGCACTCGTGTAGTGAGAAATTTGATTTCAAGTGCAGTTGAATATGGCTTAAAATTTATTCAAAGTCACTTTTGATCTATCTTGACCTGAAGCAAGTTTTCGATTTGATCTTGAACCAAGCTGGATCTAGCTTTTTTGTTTCAATTGAGCAAAAGATTTGTTTTATTTCAATCAAATTTAAAAAATATAACACATTATCAATTTTACATATATTACATGAATCCATAAATGCATGGATATTCCATATGTAGACGCATAACTTCATACATTTATAAATGAAAATATAAATTCATACAAGCATACTGATGAGGACATTAACAGGAGATTCTGGAATGTCTATCATCGGAAGCAGTGCAGAGCGACGACCTCGATCAGAAGTCTTTATTTTTTATTTATATTTTGTATTAGTGTTTCTTTTATTAGTTGTGACGATTGTACCCTTTTTCTGTTTATGTTTGAGTTGTAGTCTCGAGGGCATTATTGTCTTTCTTTTCTAATTGTTTGGAGGCCTATATATAAGGTCCTCATCTTGTATGAGAGATGATGATGAATGAAATAAAATTTCTGCTTTCTCTCTAGAGCTTGTGAGTTATTGATTGGTGAAGTCCCAAGGTGTGGGCAAAACAATACCCACCAGTCGTCGGAAGTGTCCAGGGCTCGTGGCCCGACTCCTCTTACTTCACCGCCGGCCTCCCTAATCTTTCTCACCCGTCGGACGCTCTTCTCATGCCCTTCACCATAGCCGCCAAGGCGCCAAATAACCCTCCTCCACCGGCCACTCTCCCCACCTCCAATTAGAACGCCGGCCTCCCTTCCCTTTCTCCCCACCGACCAAGCCCCCTTCCTTCCCAAGCCCACAACCGACCACATCACCTTCCCCCACTTAATGTTGAGTTCAATCTTCATTAAGACCTTCCTAATTTAGCCTACATAATTTGGGAAAGATGTCATTCTATTCTAAATTCAAAATTTGAATTTTGAATACTTTCCTAAATTAACCACGTTAAATTAGGAAAATTTTCAAATTGAATCTAATTTAATTTGAAATTAGATTGGACCTCATTATTTCCTTCCTAATTTAGTTTCATGAATTAGGAATCCTCATTAACTCCCACAAATCCCTCCCAACCCCATGCATGCCGCCGGCCCCTCCATGGGATCTCCCTCCTCTCTCCTCATTAATCTCCCTCCACTTGAATTTGATTTTCAAATATCAAATTCTTAAATCCATTTTCCTATTTTACTAAAATCTGAAACTATTTTCAGATTTTATATTACTTTCCCTTTCCAAACCCAATCCCTAATTCCACCAAAAGCATGCCCTTCTTTTCTTAGCCGCCCCTTCTTCCTTCCCACCTCTTGGAAGCCTTCTTGCCTCATGAACTACACTCCAAGAAAGAAGAAGGCCTCCCTCCATCGACAAACCCCTTGGCTAGTGCATGGCCGATCCAGATCGTGATTGTGGATTCCTCTACGACAATTAAAGTTTAGTGGATATTCATCAATCCACCTTCGTCAACCTCAATCCATAAGTGGATAACCCCGTAGAAGATTACATCAATCACACCGTATTCACGTTGGCGTCATCAATTGAAGAGCATCTACCATCCGGAAGTTGGCGGAACATTTGGTACCCACCCACGTCTTCTCCCTCTTTGGCGAACTTTCGTTGGGCTACTATCATAGGTGTCTTCTCAACACTGGTGGCATTGCTTGGTTTGCTAAGATTATTTCTCGCTAACCCTTACTAGACGAGCTTGAGTGAGGGAAACTCAAGGTGATCTTTCTTTTTGTTAAGTGTGGGATCTCTTGTTTACAATATTTAAGTTTATCTTTATGATTGAGATCATTCTCAAGTTATTGTTATTCTATCTTGTAATTGATTGCCTTTACATTATTGATGGCCTTAAGTCTAAAATCTAATCTTGTGAAACATTAGTTTATATTGCAAAGCTTAAATCAATTTCTTTATAATCTCTAGTGCAATTCCTATTGGTTTCACATCACATACACATTCATAAATTCATGCATACGCATGCATATATTTCGATTTTTATTTCTGTTTTTGTTTCTATCCAAACTCGAGCTAGGTCGATTTAATCCTTGCTTGGCTCAAGCCAAGTTTGATTTGTGCTAGCTTTGGCTCTTTATTTGGTTTGTTGATTTTGAACTGAGACCAATTCAAGCCAAACTTTGATCTGATTTTAAATAATGTTTACCCTTTGTGGCAAATTCTTACAACCTATGAAGCGCAAATACGAGAATATTGACATGATGCGACATAGGCACAACACAGCACAGCCAGGACAACTGGACAGAACCATGAAAAGTAGGATACATTATGTTATGGATAGGATGTTATAAATTATATAATTTCTGCTATTTTCCACCAATGGAATTGCAGGATGAAGTATAGCATCCTAAAAGAAAAACAAATACAATTAAGTCCTGATTGTTAATCAATGTCTTTAATGAAGAAACTCAATCATTTGAGGCAATATCCAGTTATTTTAGATAAAAAATTTATGTTAAATGAACAATGAATAAAATGCTAGGATATGAATATATAAAATTAGAAACTGAATTATATAAAAGTTACTAATATTATACAAAGAAATGTAGCATTAATTATTAGTTCTTCGACTTCGATATGATTTGTTAGGGCATGATTGGCTTTAAAGAAGAGTAGAGGTGATCTTGGACTATCTTTAGCTTCATTATTTTGGGGATGGCTCTACCATGGTCGTGATTTGCTTCGAAGAAGAATGAATATGCCAACTTTGACCATCTTTGGCTTTGTAGATGGATGAATAGGACACGATTAACTGTGAAGAATATAAGAGGCTGTTTCGACTGAAGTGGTGGAGATGCGACATGACTTTGAGTGAAAAGGCATATAGATGGTAGATTGTAGATTTAATTGAAGGGCATTGTTGGATTATCATATTTGCAGATTGCTAGGGCAAGGAGTTTAATATGGGTATTGATTCACGTACGTTCGATTATGAGTTTCATGTTTTGAGTTGCACCTGCCAGTCATGTTTTGTGAGCGATGGAGTCTAATTCCACACAAAAAAAGATTCAAAGTAATTTGTGAAGTGTTGGACATACGTTAAGGTGTGTTGTGTTGGAGTGGTGTTCATGCTCGCCGGGGCTCCAACAAGGATATAGAAGCACAATTTGAAAGTGTTTGTGCTTCATAGGATGCTTATGCTTCAAATTGTTTCAATGTTATAACTTATTGAATTTTCTGTAGTAGTTCCCCTTTTTGGTCATCCTTGCACTGTTCAGTAAGCTGAGATGAGAATGGTTTAATAAAACTCGTTGATGCATTTCTTTTACTCGTTTACTTTATTAAAACAGCTACATTTTGGTTGGTTTTGTTCTTATTAACAATGGTAATTAGGTTGTTTCAAGTTTTGTATGAGAAATTGAGAATTCCTCATGCAGTACAGTTATTCTTTCTTGCAGACATCACTGTGGAACAGTCTTCATCCCAGTCAAATAATAGGTACCCCTGCAGTCATTAAAGAAATTGATTGTTTAACAGCTACAGTAGATGAGATCCGCAATGTTTTTGCGAATTTCTTGCTGCCAATCAATGTGGATCGAACTAGGCTATCAGCATTTGCTGGCTGGTTTGATGTCCATTTTCGGGTATGCTGTCCTCTTCAAAACTTTTTATATTCTCTTTACAAAACGCTGATTGCTTGCGGCTGATTTCTTCCATTATTTAAAGGGTAGTATGCAGAACCCGGTTGAGCAAGAAGTAGAACTTACTACTGCTCCTAGCATTGACAACTCGACTCACTGGGGTCAGCAGGTTTGTTTTTTTCCTATTATTTGTATCATGGTTACATTAGGAAATACTTTGAGTTCGCAAGTAACCCTAAGGGAAATACTTCGGTTTGCAAGCAAACATAGTAATAATCGGTAAAAACAATGCAGAAATTTCAGGATATTGGAGAGAAACACAAGGAAAACTTCTTCTATTCAATCCACGAACAAGAAAAATAATACAAGATACAAGTTTCTTCAATTCGAGAGGAAGAAACAACTCTCCAATTATCTAGCAAACCCTAGAGCCCAAGAACACAAACCCTATATCTCAAATCACTTTCAAATTCAAGATGAAAACCTAATTCTAGCATTAGCCACTAATTAAAGCAAAAGGAGAAATACAAAATCCCTAAATAGCCCCTAATTCAAATTTCCCTCCTAAGCACCCATTAAATTAATTACTTGGGCCCACTAGGGCATCTGACCCTCTCCCTTGGTTCCGCCCCCCCTAGGCCGGCAGCTGTAGACGTTGAACCTATTCAGCCGGCCCCTCCTGGGCCTCCCTAACACATTCCAGATTACTTCTTAAGTTTACCATGTCTAAAGAATTGGATAGTTTTTGGTGTCACTTCATATTAACCATTGAATCTTCTTCACTAGAAAACTTTAAGCTTTCTGTTCTAAATCCTGTATTGAAGCTACAATACCCATAGCAATTGAAAGAGTTTCCCATCCTGAACTAATATCCCAGGAAATGTACACAGATAGATTTTGAATAACAGCATGAAGCTGGAATGACCCGGGAGCCGTGGACATTTTCTGCCTTGGATGAATATGAGGGAGGGGATATTACTTTATTAAAGAGGATGAGAAGTGCAAAACAATCTTAGAGAGGGAAAATGCTGAGCAAAACCAAATGGAACTCTATGCACATGGTTTAAAGGTACGATATAAGTGATGGAGGCACATTGCCGATAGGGTATCTCCACTCACATTATTTGAGGGTCACATACAGCCAGTAGGGAAGAGAGCTAAAGAGGATAAACCATGTTTGCATTCATAAAATTCAACTGTCTTTATGGCATAATTCCAAGGGTTATTTATTACAAATATTGACTGTTGATCAGTTGGGTTTAGTTGGTTGGTTTGAGATGATCTGGTTGATTTGATTGGGTTTTGCTATTTTTATTGGGTTAGTTCAATGCTGTTTGGACCAGTTGGATTTGGATTTGGAGGTGGGTCCTCTGTTGTGTTAGTTGTGGATGTCATGTCATCTTGGGGTGGTGGCAATTAGAATTTAGCATCCTCAAATTCCATTTTGAGAGGAGAGATTATTACGTGCAGAGTCCGCACAAAAAGAATCATTTGGTTTTGTGACCGTGAACAGTAAAAGCGCAATTATTGTTCACAAATGTGCTTTTACTGTTCACCATTGCGTTTTTATTGCAGTTTCACTGTTCACAGTCACAAAATCGAACAGTTCTCTGTGTCCGGACTCCGTATGTAATAATCTCTCTATTGAGAGAGGTTTTCAATTGTCGTCGGATTTCATTCCCATAAATTTTCTATGCCACTTGTGTGCAATCTTCTACTTTTTGATATGGAGGATATTTATTCAAAGTTATGATGTAAACTTCAATTTCTATCACCATTCATAATTTCTTTTCACCATCGAGGGATGTTTTTATGGTCTTTTTTTCGGCATAATTTAAATCTCGTATGTTTTAATCTCTTATAATTGTTTTTTTTTTTTCACTACTCCCCTGTGCAGGTTTTCCTCTTGCATCCTCCTCTAAGAGTTGATGTAGGTGACAAACTGATGATTGCTTTTTCTATGAGCCGGTCCAGGGAGAATCATCGCTTGATGGATGTGAATTTCACATATGAGTTGCAGCTGTCATCCGGAAAATGCTTTAAGCCTGTCGCTATAAAGTATTATATAGAATGATTATGAGGAGAGGAGAGTCATTGCATGCTGGTATGATGATCTTTTTTATTTCATATTATAGAAACAATCTCTTTGCATGCAAATACGAAGATAAGGCTACATTTATCAGATTCTCTTTATACATCGCACAACTGATTGCTTCATGCAGAAATACCAAGAAAACTTTCTGAACTTCCGTCAAAACAAATCTAATAAATCTGATATTCATTTTGGTAAAAAATTTAAGCAGAATATTCTGATTTTTTTCTTTCTTTCAATATTTAATGTCATACATTGTGATAGAAAAGTCTCCCCTCAAAATTAAGGGAAAATTCTATAAGATGGTGGTAAGACTTGCAATGCTTTATGGTGCCAACTGTTGGCCATTAAAAGAGAAGCATAATACTAAGTTAAGTGTTGCAGAGATGAGGATGCTCAGGTGGATGAGTGGCTTTACCCTTAGAGATAGGATACAAAATGAGCATATACATGAAAGCTTGGAGTAGCTCCAGTGGAAGATAAGATTAGAGAGAGTTGCCTTAGATGGTTTGGTCACATAAAACGGTGGACTTCCGATGACCCTGCTAGGAAAGTAGAGATATTAGATTTGACTTATGTTAAGAAAGGTAGAGGTAGATCTAAAAAGACTTGGTTCGAAAATATTATAAATGATTTTTCTTTATTAGATTTAAAAGAGAATTTGACTTTTAACAGGACACAATAGAGGAAATGGGATTTATGTAGCCGATCCCACATAGTGGGGCAAAGCCTTGATGTTGTTGTTGTTGTTGTTGTAGTATTGTGACAAAATCTACGAAGCTCTCTCATTTATTCTCCCACTTCATGTAGAAGCAGCTGCTGCAGCTGGTTCTGCTAACATAAACTTTAATGATCTGTGCTCTTCAGGAATGAAGGCGGAATGCATCACTCAGAATGTTGCATGTTGTGTGGATGAAGAACAACCATATTTAGCTGGAAACAAGCTATATAATCATTAAATGTTTTCAACTGTATTTTGCTTTTGGTCTGTCTCTTCTGGAATCATTTATCTTGTAATTTTGAGAAGAAATTTGTTTGACAATTAATTGGAAGATAAGGTTATTGCTACCGTCGAATTAATTAATTTTCCAACTTTCTGCATTATCAGTTCTGAAACAGCACACCACAGCATACAGTGAGTTAGCTGAATGATGAACTGAAAATATGATTAGCATATATTGAAATGGCTGAGATGTAGGATTTGTTTGGGATAATTTTTTTATTATTTTTTAAAGCAGTTTTTAAGTTCAAAAAAATTTAATTCAAACTTTTTTTTTACTATAAATATGCTTTAAAAAATAGTAGAAAGATAGTCTCAAATGAAGCTGTAGTGCTCTACGTCCGGTCGGAGTTAAAATCGCGCCAAAAAATGAGAAATACTGAGCAAATACTAGAGCAATACTAAACAATAACGAGGACTACCATCATGTGAAGATCCAATACTGAGTTATACTGAGCTATACCGAGCAATATCGAGTTATACAAAAAAATACCGATTTTTTCCTAGAAAAAATTTGGTATTTTTTTGTATAATTTGATATAGCTCGGTATAACTCGGTATTGGTCTTTACAGAGCGGTATTCCTCATTATTACCAAATAATATCTAGTAATACCGAGTAAATACCGAATTTTTTGGCGGGATTTTAGTGTCGACTGGATGCTCCTCTACGTCCGGTCGGAGGACCTAATAATTGTTCATAGTATTGGTATGATGGTTGCCATAGAGCAGAAAATTTTCTTTTTCTGATAGATTATTGTTCATTGTAAACAATACACTGTTCTCATAACAATTTTTTTGGTGATGGCTGAATGTAATTAGAAATAATTTTGTTAAGATTTTGAGTGAAATAGTGCACTAGATGAATAATTTATAATTTATTTATTTATTTATTTAGGATTTATGTTCATTTCCTTAAAAAATTAAACAGGGTTATAATATATTTTAAAAAACTCTGTAGATAAGATAACATTTGAATATTGATTTGTTCATTTTATTTTTCTTTGTATATAAAGCAATTACCATATATGTTTATTTATTAATATTAAATATGTAATTAGTGAAAAATGATTATAATTTGAACTTATAACATTATGAAGTTTGGATAATGTTTAAGTTTGGTTGGACTTTGGTTAAATAAATAAATAAGTTTGAGCAATTTGGTTCTAAGCTCAATTAGGTTCCCTTACATCTTATAAGTAGGTAAATAAAATTAAAATGATACAATTGAATTTTATTTAATGAAAATTAAGGTTAATTTGTTAATACATGTAATTTTATGAAGTGAGATAATCCAGCAACATGTGCTATATCAACATCATTAGACCCAATTATTTGGTGTTAATTTTGTGAATACTCATTTTGTAATTATTTCAATTGAGTGTTGTATGGAATATTAAATCTATTTTTTACAAATTATTTTGAACAACTATCTATGTTATTTCAGATCCAGCTCTTTCCCATCCTAATTCCCAAGTACTAATTTTATGTACTAATCTAGAAAGTGCATTTTTTTTTAGCTTTTGTTGTGTGGTAGAAAAGGTCCCTTCAAATTTAAGGGAAAATTCTATAAGATGGTGGTGATACCTATGTAGAATATTGGCCATTAAAAGAGAAACATATTATTAACTTAAGTATTGCAGGGATGATGATGCTTAGGCGGATGTGTGACTTTACTCTTAGAAACATGATATGAAATGAGTGTATACGTGAAAAGGTTAGAGTTGCTCCAGTAGAAGATAAAATTAGAGAGAGTCACCTCAAATGGCTTGGTCATATAAAATGGTGGCCTTCCGATGACACGACTATGAAAGTAGATGTATTAGATTTGACATATGCTAAGAAAGGTAGAGTTAGACCTTAAAAGACTTGGTTAGAAAATATTAGAAATGACCTTTTTTTATTATATTTAAATAAGAATTTGACTCTTAATAGGACACAAATAGAGAAAAAAGATTCATTTAGTCAACCCCATGTAGTGGGATAAATGCTTGATGATGATATTGTTGTTGTTGTTTTAATCACAAAAAAACTATTTTCAATTATCTTCAATAGGGATGACTCCAATCATTTCTCTAATATAATCATTCCTATTTATTCTTTCTAAATTTTGACACATCTCAACATTCTTCTATCTTGCTCCACGTGTTTCAGGAAAAAACATACTCTTTGTGGGTTTAGTTGGCAAAAGTTTTGCTACATGAACAGCTGAAGCATCCATGCCCTCAACATCATCTAGGCCATCCTCTGACAAATCCCTAGCATCAACCCCTGTAGACGTGCCAAATGTGAGGAAAAGTAATCAAATGAAGCACATAAAATAATACAGCGTGACATATTTTTAATACAGAAGAACTTGAACCATGAAAGTCATAGTCACATAAGTAAAATTGACATGTAGTCGAAGGAAATCCACCAAAAATTGCCATAGGTCTAACTGGGGCAGTTGGAATGAATTAAGTTTTTTATCTTCCAAATTCTCATCATGCTCAACATGGATAGGTGACATATATATGACTTATTAACTTCTAGTATTGTTGACACCCATCATACGATGCCCTTCTAACGCTGCAATTAATCTAGTATCCATACACTTTATGATAGATAACTTAGACATAGACTCTACATACATAGGTTTTTTCTTCATTTAGTTTAGTATGTATCTATCCCGTATCTATTAGGGATGATCAACTCTTCACTTTCACATATGACTATGTGGATTAAATGGCATTCCTGACTTAGGCATGATGCAAGTCCACTTGTCTATCTTTTTTACTATATTGAAAAGATAGTTAATCTTTCTTGGTCATATACAATCAAGTTATAAGTCCCATTACGATGTTATAAGCTTATACTATGCTAAGGAGATATTTGAGCTTGCTTTTGCTTGATCCCATACAATCAAGCTGTAAGTCTCATTATTCCCATCTTTTCATTCCATTCTATGTATTACTTGTACCATAGTGAAAAGATATTCAAGATCTCCATCATATCTTTGATGTCTTCCCTATGACAATGAGAAGACATCATGGTTTCCTTGGTCACACACAACTAAGTTGTATGTCTAATTTGGACTTCATTTATATTACATTGAGGAGATATTTGGGGCTCTTGATTATATGTGATCAAGCTGTAAATCCAACTCTTTGAATATCTTTTTACTACATTGGGGAGATGTACAATTCTTTCATATGTGTCTCAGGTTCTCTGCAAGATTGAGAAGGTATTTAGGCAATCTCAATCCCACACAATTGTGCTATAAGCCCTATCTTTGGTGTCCTCTCCATCACATAGAGAAAAAATTTTCTTTTCTACCTTTTAGTCTTAGAGCTTAGTTAGCCTTATAGGTTGTAAAATGTACCATAACACATTATTGTAAATCTAGTTTGGGTTTTTCCCTCATATAATAGTGGAGTGTAATTTATATTTGTCAGCCTATGATTAGGTCCATAACTTTAGTTTACAAGGTCCTCATAGTAACTCATAGTTACTAATAAGGATTATTAGATAACCATATACTTGAGTAGACTAACGGCACTAATTAACTTGAAATGATATCATGAGATCTTAATTGGGGATGTCAGACCTAGTCGGTAGGTTAGTCTTCACTTTCTTACATCAACTCATTTATTTTCTCCCAGACAAGTATTGCCACATATCATCATTATTCCAATCTTAAGAATCTCCCTATAGTTGATGTTGGAGTTATAAGTCTCTCTATCATATTCACTTTGATATTTTTAAGTCAACCTTTTTTTAGTTTGTAGGATGTTCCTCCCATCAACCTCTATAGAGCCCCACAGGATCTATTCTAACTTTCGTTTGACCAAGCTTTATATTAATTATACTTAACTTTAATACAAGTATCCCTATGGACCTATAGAGAGTAATGGTTCGTAATGATTAGTCATCTATCGTAACATTACATGCACTATCTTTTGAAACCAACATGGATATCTCTTAGGATAAATACAAGCCAACACATAATCTCCTTCCTTAGATTATTTGGAAGAAAAATTGTGAGTTACTCTTTCAGCATACTTTGCATAGCTTTTATTTATTTGTTACCTCAATAAGAATGGATATTAATCTTCTATGAATTTAAAAGATAATTGAAAAAAATATATGATTGGGGACTATAGCCATATCATTGGATCTTTTTGTATCAGTAATGCAATTACCTAACTTAGTAGTAGCAGACATATGTATCTCCTATATTTTACTCTCATGAGTTTAAACACCTCATAACTCTAATATGTTTAATCTAGGTCAATACAATCTCCTAATAGAGGTAGTTCATCCAAAAATGTGTATATAATGTCCTTAAGTAAACTAGATCCTATGGAAAAAGATTTTGTGTTTTGTATTGAGGTTATATATGGCCCTTCACATGGCATTTAAAATATATGTTCATTAGAACTATTCTTAATAGGAGCACTAGTAGTTTGAGTGCCATTAGTGATGGGATGGGCGAAGCATTAGGCATTTGAATAAAAGTATGGGGTAGCCATCTTTTTCTTTTCCACCATGTGTCCATAATGGAAAGCATATTTTAATATATGGTGTTCAAACATATCTATCCCATTTCTAACATCCATTCTAAGACTAATTACAAATTTATTGACTAGTTGTCAATCATTATGTAGAGCGTTAGTCCTTAAAAGTGTTGAGATACTTGGTGACTTGAAGGGAGCCCTACCTTAGGGTTAGAAGTTGCCTATGCAATTTTTTGTGATAGTGACTTGGGTTATATGTAGTTCTAAGCATTTTCCTTATCTCTATCCAAGTTAAGTTTATCATTTCTGATCTACATTTTTTTTTTTTGCTAAGATGCTGGTCAAGTATATCTTGTCATGTCCTTAGCAAAAGTATCCTTTGGTAGTCATGCATTCTATGTTACTCAGAGAATACATTCATTTGTACTATCAAATATAAAAAAATAATTGGGAACATACTCACCATAACACCATAGCATAGCAAATTTAAAGCTCTTCAAAGGATCTTTGAAGTTTTCAAGCTACCTATTTTAGTAATCCCTTGTATATTCTTATGAAAAGATTGCCTCATAATAGGTTGAGCTTTT